GTTTATTTTTGAAATTTTCTGGGCTTAGATTCACTAAAAATTGGGATGCGTGTCTTACTTGGGGATAAGATTTTAGCCAAAATTTGAACTGGAAACTCCCTGTGCATGCCTTACTCAGGGTCGCATGGTACAAGAGTAAATGCAGTAGTTTTGTCTTTGTTACAATGCCAAAATTGGGGTAGAATTATAATTTCTGCCAAGGATGTTGTATTTGTCCAAAAAATAATAATAATGATCATTTTGTTGAAAATTATATTGATGTAATCTTAAAATTTGAATAAATTGATGCTGCAAAATTTATTTTCTGAAAGAGTAATCCAATGATCACAGCAATACTCTGGAAAATTGCTGAAGTTTCCTACATAACCTGAATCTCTATGACTTTTGAAGGAAAATCAAGTATTTTTGATCAAATAATTAAAATGAAATATTCAATAAACCACCTACCTCTTTAAACTGCCAAAAATGCTCTGGACAAATGGTGGCATCTTATTGGGGTTGGACTGTACATGCAGTACTTGAATTACTTTTGGGCACATTCAATGCCAACAAAACTGAAGTGCACAATTGCCCCTATTGCTAAGCCTCATATATGATACTCAATTTAATAAGGTGTCCTTCCCAGAAGAGAAAGTTATTAACATCCCTCCTACACTGGCAACAGAATGCGTGGGAAACTGGATCAATTCCCCGAGCCTCTTCACCTTCACAATGACCACGTGGGCGGGGAAAAACAAAAATCCTCAGTCACCCAAATTACCAGCTTCACCCTCTCAACTTTTGCTCTGGAGAAATCGAAAAAAAAAAAAAATAAATAAAAAAGCATCCAATTTTTCCTGCCCGGGAGGAAAAATCAGTGCCAAAGAATGCAAGAAAAGGCGCGTGGGAAAAAAGCATTCTTCCTCCCCTGTTATCTCCGTAAACATATGTGCACACTAAAATATAAATAAAATTTGGGGAGAGATGAAAAACAAGCAATTTCATGGTACAGTATAATGCGTGATTCTTCTCCCTGTCTTCCGTTTTTTTTGTCCAAAGTAATAAATTAGCAGATTCTTGAAGAAAAGCATGCGAAAACAGTGGCAAACGAAAAAAAAATCAACCCTCCCACGCGGGTTCTTTTTTAGGGGTTAAAAAAAAGCCTTCAATGACTATGATCTTTTTTTTTATAAGAAAAGGTGCACAAGTGCTAGGGGGGAAAATGGGCTTCTTTTCACGTGTGACAAATGACACCCTTATTTTTATTTTTATTTGTTCTGTGGTGGACAACGATTTTCCCCAACAGTCGTTGTTTCTGACAACAAAGCCACAACAAAGTCGGCAGAAAGGATCTCTTAGCGCAAATTTTGAAAGTGCGCAATGTTTTAAAGCTGTCACAAATGCCATAACTTTTTTTTTTCAAATTTATATTTTTGCAGATTGCGGGAAATGAAAGCAGGATTTTATATTGCAAGTTTTAGAAGTGTCATGTCTCATGTCCCATCCTGATTTTGAATTTAAAACCAAGTTTTTAGATTTTTCTTTAGTGCTTTTTTTAGAGTAATATGTTTTATAACATGGGTACAATTTTTAGACTTACTGCGATTATTCATACCAAAACAAATTCTGGGGTTTTAAATCTATATATTGCCAATCTTCGAATTTTTCCTTTCTTTTGAATTTGATAGAAAGTCATTCGAATATTCTGGGTTTTTGAAGAGCCACATTTTATTTTACTAAACGCGCACATTTTTTGCAATCGACTCAACTGCGATAATCGATTTTCCATTGTATGTACATTTAAAAAATGCATAAAAAATCATTTCGCATGATTCACAAAACTTCATTTAAAATAGATAAATGGAATGTCAGTGTCATGACTGGGAATCATTCAGTTTCTCAATATTTTCAAATTGCTGTCATAAGTTGGTCAGTTTTTTTTTTCAATTCACGGATGTATATCTTGAATTTTATTTTTGTAAAAATCCAGGCGCAATATTTAAAAAAAATCCGCATCTAAAAATGTAAATACTGTAATTAAACCACATCTCAGAGCTCTGCTATATACTGTAGCTCGAAATTAATTATGTTCTCAATTTTTTTCAAAGTGCTTTTTTCAATAAGTTTTCCTTTTTTTGCGCCACGAATTTTTCTTGAATTCTCTTCATAAAAATCAAGACGCACATTTTAATAAGCTGCATTCGTGAATTTGAAATTAAAACCCATTTTAGCGCTATATTTAGCTGGAAATTGATTGCATTCTCAATTTTTTAAAATATTCTGTCTTAATTTATCACGTTTTTATATATTCTGCATATTTTGCACAATAAAAAATAAATAAAATAAAGGGAAGCATGCAGAGAAAATGCCCAGAGCTCAATGATATAAGGGATGATGTTTCCTTTGGTCATCTCATCATCATCCGTTGTCGCATGCCCAAGAAATGAGTCACCTGCACACCAGGTGTCGCTCCAAATCGTTTCAGCAAGGAATGCGCGGCGCGCGTGGGAAAAAAGCCCCGAGATTAAAGCGTGTGCAATGCCAAACGATACAGTGCTGTTGGTGGTGAAGAAGAAGACCAAGAAGAAGAAGAAGAAGATGATGATGATGATGATGATGGGCCTGTCTGCTGTGGCCAGGCAAGTGCAGTTCGTGGAGCCAAAGAAAGAAAGAAAGAAAGAAAGAAGGAAAGACACGAGTATATAGTGCAGCCAGCAAAGTATGCGCGGTACGCTATGGTTAATGGCAGGGTGCTGGGCATAACTGGCGAGCCGCGCAATCTGCCCGGAATCTCGGCCCCGCGCGCTCCAGTTTTTTGCCTGGGTTCCCACGCACAGGTTGGAACCCGTGCACCAGCCGTTTTGGCGGCCACTATATACTGTACATATAAAAATACTGTAATAATGTACCTCAACTTTCTCAACACAGTATTCTTCTTCTCTCTTCTTTCTTTTTTTTTCAATGTCCAAGGATTATTCAATATATTGTTACCATTTTTTTTATTTTGTATGGTGATGTTATATTGTGTACTGTATTGACTTTTGAAAAAAAAAATTGAACTTTGAAATTTTAAAAAATATTTTCTGCACATGTCAGTTCATCAGTTAGAGTTGGAGCTTGATGACTGAACCTCCATGAGTCAAATACAGGCCAATCGCATGTGTCAAATTATTTTCAAGCCCCTGTCTGAATTTCCTTGGACAATACAATCAACCCCTGTCCAACAGACTTAATTTGTGAACAGAAAGTCCTTTAGACAAATTAAATTATATAAAAATTTTTAAATTTAAATTTTCAACACTAATTTTAAACCAAAATAAGTTGTCTGTTTGGCAGATTTTGTCTGTTGGGCAGGAGGAAAAACTGCCTGCTGCAGAGCTGGTCTGTTTGGCAAAAGTCCCTTATGTAGGAGGTATGTTAGGCAGGGGGGGGGGGCAAAGGTATGGATTAAAAAGCTTCCCCAAGCTTGAAGGCTTTCCCCTTCAACGCTCCAACAGAAGTTGAATTTTTCTGGATGCCTTTTTGATGTTTTTATTCTTATTTTTACACATGAAGGAGAAGGGCAACAAAATCATAAGTTGAAGTGAGGGACAGATGGAGCAAATGAACCCTTGCCTTCAGCATCCTGTCAATTCATTTAAGAAACAGCGTTATGCTCAAGACATTGTCAAAATTTTTTTCTCATTTTTTTCTCTCTCTCTGTTCCCTGGGGGAGCAAGAAAAATTTAATTGAAATTGTTATCAGTTCTGGAAGTTGAATTGCTTCTCATCCATTCAGCAGCAAAGGGTTCTTTTCCATTGCATGGCAATTCTAAAATATTTTGTGTAGTAGGATAGCACATTTCTTTGTAACCAAAGGTCATCAAAATGACACTATAGTGCAGAGTGGCCTAAGGCCAGAAACAGTTTGAATGAGCTGGGTCATGTTTCCTCACCCAGCTCAGTTTGACCAACAGTCACCAAAATGTTTTCAGGTTGGGAAGGTCCAAGTATGTGAATTTTATTTTGTTATGAGGAATCTCCAATGCCAATACTATGCCAAGAATGCAGGAATAAATGCCACCCAGAGGAAATTTTTTCATTCAAAATTTCCTCCCGGATTACAAAAAAAAAGTATTGGATTTTTTCACAACTTGGGCCTTGGTACAAAATCAAAAGGTTTTTATTTTAAATGCTCAGCATGGGTACAAAATTTTGCAAAAATATCCTTGATTCACCATCACACAATGGTTATTTATGTGCCAAATTCAAAAATTAAACTGATAAATTTAATCCTAAGTAAACTTCAAGCGCACCCATTAATGAAATTCACACAATGATGTTTTTTTTTTCAAGAAACAAGTGAATGCTTTGGTGGCTATTTGTCAAGTTAATGGGGCAAGTGCTATTGGGGGATTTTGCAATTATTGCTGAATTTTTACAGATTTCCTTTGGTCAGTGAAATTTATTTGAATTTGCTTATTGAGAGTCCCTGCTGGAGTTATTATTCCAATAATCTGGTAATCTTGTTGCAGAAACTTGACTCAGAGAACTGAGTTTCTGCAGTCCTATTGTGGAAACAGGACTTTATGAATGAATGAATGAATGAATGAACAGAACACTTTATTTGCCGCTTTTCAGCATTCACAAGGTTCAATCAAGATTTCCACATNCCGCTTTTCAGCATTCACAAGGTTCAATCAAGATTTCCACATCCAAACCCCCCTCCCAAAACCAACCCAAATCCACTCAAAGGACTTTATTTGAATTAAATTTTATTAATTTTTTTTTGGCCACTGTGGGTGAGTTGCTGAGTTCCCAATAACAGTTGCTGAGGTTTGAGTTATTATCCAGGGTCAAGTGAGCATGACAAAATCTAGTAGTAGAGCGTCCGCAGTGCACCGAGTGTAAATCTCTTCTTTTTCTTTTATTTACACTAAAACTACTATATGAGTAACAAACTGATCAAAGGCACTGGCGGCCAGGTACAACTTTGTTGTCACTTCTTGCATTTGAAGCATTTGAAGGAGCACTTCTTGCTCTCAAGGAGGCCTGGCAGCAGCCGGGCGGTGCAGCTGATACGTTTCGAGGTCTATTTATTAAAAATAAATTAAAAATAAAGTTAAAAATACATATGTATAGAGAGCAGAAGGAGAAGAAGAAGAAGAAGTGGTGATGGTGGTGGCCAGAGTGGCGGTCGTCCCGGTGGCGCCCGGTTGTTTTCCCACGCTCCGAGACGGCGGCTCGCGCACGCTCCCGGGCGTGTGCGCAATAATCCCCGCGCCGGGGCGGCCAAAGGTCACACCCCCGGCCGCCTCGGAGAAAGGTGAACTCACTCATCAGGGATGCTGCGGCGGCTTCGGCTTCGTCTTCGGCGGCGGCGGCGATTCGTCGCCTTTTTCTTTCCCACGCCAAGGAGGAGAAGAAGAAGAACGTGACCGCGTGGATCGTTGTTGTGGATCGACTGTTGAGAGAGGGAGAGGAGGAAAATGCGTGATTGCGGGCCCGCCTGACCTCGGAATGTCCATCCCTCAACTGTTTTTTTTTTTTTTGCTTCACTTGTTCATCTTGAATGGTTTTTACTTTATTTTTGGCTTATTTGTTTTTGTTTTTTTGCTACCGCATTCCGCGCCGATTCCGACGAGACGAACCGATTATCGCGTCAAATAATGTGGAGCTCTCTCATATACATGGAGTGACTGCGTAATTCCCTCTGATCACGCCATGGTTATTAAGGCAGCAATCTTGCGAGTCCAGTTTCCAGTAGTGCAGGTACATGTAATTTCACTCTCTATATCTTTGACTGTCTGTATATAGTATCTGTTTATTTTATTTTATTTTATTTTTTTAAGTTTTTCATTTCTCCCTGAATAAGTTAAGCACTTGTGAGTGAGTCTCTCTGGAGGACTAATTTATTTTGTATGTCAATAATAGCTGAGATATATTTTTTTTTGGGCTAAGAATTATTAAGTTGATTTGGCTTCAGGATGTTCCTTGCTGTAGAAAATTTTGGAATAGCTGATGTGGAACACAGAGAAAATGGGGTGAAAATTGTTGTCATACAGGTGCGGAATCTTCATCAGAATGATGTTGTCTACAATGATTTTCTCTTTATATCAACATATTTATGGTGGGTCCCCAAATGGTTATACAGTCAACCCTTGCTTAAAAATTTTAGTTGGTGCAGTGGGAAAAAACGTTAGCTGAAAAAAAGGTTAAGCAAGGTAGTCTCTCCCTTCAGATATAAGGGAGAAACGTTTAATTGGTGTCAGGCAAAATTTTCTGAAGGTAAAATTCAGAAAAAATTAATTGAAAAGTGTATTCCAACAACTGAGCTTTATGGACTGCCAATACATTCAAAAAGTAACCACAGTTCTTCACTCAATTGAAATCAGAGATTCATTTTAAACAAGGAAAGGTTTAAGTGTTACCCAAAATTCAGTGTGTGACACTGCAATTGTTCATAAAATAATTTCAACACCACACCACCACACAGGAAACACATTTAAAGCTGTGGAAAAAGTTACATTCAAGAAAATGTACAGGAGGGAGGCATCCACATTGATCACCGAATGCCGCACAACTGCAGAATGTTGAGCAAATTTCAGAATGTTAAGCAAGGGGATTTTTCTCACAGGACCGGGAATGTTAAGTGAAAAAATGTTCAGCAAACAGAACGTTAACCAAGGGTTGACTGTATTCCCATGTTATGGGGGCTTGCTACAACAAACATCTTGCTGAAATGAATTTGTTACATTTTGAAATAGGCAAGGTGAAAAACAGGGGAAATATGCTGAAAATTATTGCAATAAAGTTGGTATATCTCTCTCTATATATTGAGCTTGTCTACAATGATTTTCTCTGCATAGCAATTTTTTAGGCTTCATGGGGGTTCTATCCCCATTTTATAGTTTTGACCACAAAACTCCCTGTACAATGAATTTTTTTCTTGTCACTTGTGTTTTGTTGTACAAAGAGTCCACCTGTATTACACAAAAGGATGAAATGACTGTCTGTTGTGATTAGAATGTATTTTATGCGTGAAATGAAAATTAGATTGAAGATTCTTCTCATCATTAGGCAGTGGGCCTATTATAGCAACATTTTACATTTTTTGAAAGTTCTCAAGCCAAATTTCTTATGTTATATGAATAGATCCTCAGGAAAATTTTTTCCAAGTGATGATTTGAAAAATTTTTGGATCCTGTGGTGAGGCATTTGAGAAAGTTATTTTAAATGCTGTAGCACTTCTGTTCAATGCCATGTTATACTAAGCACAGTCAAACCTCTCTGAGTTTAACTTCAAGGGAACAGAAAAAAAATTTGACTGAGGGAGGTTTTGACTTTGGAAGGTTTGAAAATGGTTTTTAGTTAGGGAAACAAGCATTTTTGTTGTGGGAAAGATTAAAGAATTGCCAGAAATTGTAATTGGTAATATTCTGGGTCTCAAATTGCTTCTTAAATGAGTTAACAAGATGCTGAACTTTGATGCAAGGGTTCATTTGCCCAATTAGTCTTTCACTTCCTTTCAAAACACATTTTTCACTCTTTTGTTTTCTCTTCTCTGTGTGAAGAAAAAAAAAATAGCCAAAAGGCCTGGGAAAATTTCAGTTAGGGAGGTTTGGGAGGAAAATCATTTGACTTGGAGAGGTTCTTAATGCACTGCTTCAAAGGGAATTCAGATGGAATTTTTAAAAAATTGACTTAGGGAGGTATTTGACTTACAGAGGCTCACCTTATCAAGGTTCAACTGTAGTTAAATATTTATCAATAATAAATTTTGGGAAATGCTGATATGATTCCCAAAAAAATGTTGCATTACAAGAATGAAGGCTTACAGAGGAAACATTTTCATGTGAACGCTGTCCATATATTTTAGAACCTCAAATTCCTGATGCCTCATGGATTATTTTGTGCTCATTTTATGACTATCAGATAAATTTAAAATTCCTTTGGAGCACCATGTATGATTTATTGAAAATGTTTCCAGTGTGTCTCACCATACTCTTATCTTGCCTTGCCAAAACTTTTAAAGAGAAATCTGTGCTTGAAGGATTTAACAAATTGAAATAGATGAAGAGAGACCAAGAAGTACTGTATAATTGGATTTCTCAATAGTCCCCAGGGTCAGTCCTTGAGCCTTTTTCTTCATTCATCTTTTCTCCCAGCAATGGAAAATGAAAGGTGTTGAGCTCACTGGCATCACATCAGTTGCAGGAAATTGGTTTTCTGTCAGTTAAACTTATTCCACACACACACAAGAGAGAGAGAGAAAGAATATGATTATACCGAAAACAACAGTGATGGGAAAAAAAGTAGAAAATTGTTGGGGTTGGTTGGGATATATAGACTAAATGCAAGGGAAAAAGGGGGCACCCATGGCAAAGTGAATCTGGCTGCTGTTGCTGGTGCTGGTTGCCATAGGATATATAGGAAAGTCAGTGCATGCATGAAGCAACGGTTGCCTTTGTGGCCCCAGGGCATCCGTGTATATATACAGTATATATACTGCAGGGGTTTCGTGTTTTTCCGCATCCCTTTTGTTTGTTGCTTTTGGGCTGCTTCCTCAGTTACGCCTTTGGGACGCCCCTGTATCATCAACGTGCCCGCACGCAGCATTCCGGACACCTTTGACAGTTCCCTCATATTCTCCCCCCCCCCCCCCCCCCCCCCCCCCCCCCCTTCCCCCATATTCCCCCCCCCCCCCCCCCCATTGCACTTCTAAAAAAAATATTTTCTTTATTTTTTTTCATGCCTGAAAGTATGAAGAATGCTTTCTGAAATTCCGTTTATTTTTTGCTTCTTCCTTGGCATCCTTCTGGGGCCGTTTGTGGAGTGGAAAAAGGAAGGAATCCCCATCAGGTGTGGGTGGGTTTGTACTGTACCAGTCTTCCAGCAGATTTGCAACAGTTTTTTTTTTTTTTTTCATGATTATACATCAGTGTTCTCCTAGCCTTTTTGGGCCTGTGGACTGGCAGACTTTGGTGAAATTTTTGCACACTCAAAAAAATTTTGCCTGAAAGACTGTATATGGCAGGTAATTGGCAAGAGTGATGTTCTAGATCAGTGTTTCCCAACCCAGGGTCTGCAGACTGCTGGTGCTGGTCCTTAAAAGTTTTTTTTTTTTTGCTGGTCCATGGGAAATTTTCAGCATATAATGGATTTATCAAATGTTGGGATGAAGTCTGTTCTTTTTATTTGAAATTTCAGAAGGAAAATTATGGCAGTTGAATTATCTGATGATGACAAAAGTTGGCTTTTCTCCTAATAATGCTTCAGACAAATTGTCACCTGCTGAAATAAATTATTGGATGAATATTTCATTCTGTACCATAATTCTCCAAGCCCACCTTTCTAATTGTTTGGTGACATTCTTGACTGATTTTTTTATTGCATCTACCTGCCTAATAACAATCAAGGAAAATTTTGGCAAGTCTACAAAAAGTTTATGAAACTTTGCCAGTCTGCAGAATTTTTTTTTTTTGAATTTGCTGGTCCACATGCACAAAAAGGCTGGGGAACACTGTTCAAGTTGGTGATGAGCAAATGTAAATGCAGGTTTACTCTCTACAAAAATTCTCTATGTAAAGCTATTTTATGGTCCTTTAGAGCTCTTCATACTCAGCTTGTATAACTTCCTTAAAACAAAATGTTATCTACAATCTATTTTCTTCTACTCCCCTGAAGTTTGTTGTGTTATTTATTTCAGCAGGTTAAAATGTGTCTGAATTGTTATCAGGAGAAAAGCCAACTTTTGTTATCATCAGATAATTCAACTGCCATTGTCCTTCTGAAATACTGCTTTCATGATGAAATGTGTTGTGTTATTTATTTCAGCAGGTTAAAATGTGTCTGAATTGTTATCAGGAGAAAAGCCAACTTTTGTTATCATCAGATAATTCAACTGCCATTGTCCTTCTGAAATACTGCTTTCATGATGAAATGAGCGATTTTCACAGCAAAAAATAAAAAATAAAAACGTGGACCTTCCCAAGTTAAATGTCCTTTATTTGAATTTCTTTTGACAATTACCCTGAGGCCAACACAAATTTAAACCTCCCGAAATTCAAGAGTGTTTTTTGAACCCCCTTATTTAGTATACTTATAGTACATTTCTATTACAGCATTACTTGGGGATACTTTTTTGAGAGTAAGTTCAGGAAAGCAAAATAAAAGCAGAATCATATGACAATAATTTTCTAAAGGAATTATGCATCTTCTTGCGGAGAGGACATCTAAAATTGATGAAGAATTTGAATGTGGACAGTATTTAATTTATAATTGTTTTGAAACCCAATTGAAGCCACATTTTAGAACTCATCTCTTTCAGGTGAAATTTAATTCTCAGCCAATTCAAAACTGTTCTGGAAATCTTTTCTTATTGTTTGATCACAATTTATTTTTCGCAGAAGCACCACAAACAGTGAATTTCTTATCATGAGAAAAGCCTAAAGCAGAATATATTTCTCCAGAAAAATGCTTTATTTAAAAAAAGGCATCTCAAACTAGGAGAGATGTGCAAAAATGCTCATAACTTCATCAATTCTCATTAATTTATTCATGCTTGTCAAACAGCAAACCAGTGATCGGAATTCGATACAGTAGCAACACCCTTTCACAATAAATTTGTTAAAATCAATTCTTGTTTACAAAAAAATCATTGTTTAAGGTGCCTGATCAACGTTCTTTGAACTTTTATTCAACATGCTGTGGTTGTTGTGAAAAGATCCGCCTTCAATTGTGAAAAGTTTTTTTGATTTATTTTTAGATCCAATAGCTTTTCTTCATGAAACCATATTAACTAATTAACATGGTTCATCATGCAAGAAGATTTTTTTTTTAATTTTCACTCTGCACAAAATTCAGCTGAAGGTGGTTGAACAGATTATTTTTGTCTGAAAAGATGGCATTTATACAAGGGAGAAAAATACGGTACTATAAGTATTTTCAAATGTTTTCCTTTATTTTCCGCGTATATTTAAAATAAATCTGCTGATGAAGCCAAGTGAATCTCAGAAACGCGAGCAGCACCCCGAGGGCATAAATTACCCACTTGTCGGTCAGAAAAAAAAATTATATACAAGGAAAAAAGTCGGGTACTGTAATTCCTGTGTATCGTGAGAATCTCAGTACCCAACAAGTCCTTCAGATTTTAATCCAACTGTTTCCTCTTACATTCATGAAGAGGATCGGAAAAAAAAGAAAAGAAAAAAAGGACGCTGTGGTATTTGGATGATGACTGGTTGCTTGATCCGGGTTCTCATATCGCGGGGCCCCCGCCTTGTGTGTGTGTGAGAGTGAGAGAGAGAGAGAGATGAAAAGTAGAACCCGAGAGAGTGCCACGGGGCCCCCAGCACGGGTTCCCACGCCAGGGATTCGCGGAATGACAACGCCGGGGCGTGCAATCAAATCGATGCTGCACACGCGCGTGGGAACCCGCCCCAGGGGGGCACACAGCACCCAGCTATGTAGCTGGCAGGCAGGCAGGCAGGCAGGCAGGCAGCATAGCACCCACCCTCTGGCCATAGGGATCCCTTCTCCTCTTCCTTTTTTTTAAATTTTATTTTCTATTTCCCGCCAATTTGTATATAGGTATATCATGTACTCATCTGCTTGTCTTCTTCTTCTTCTTCTTCTTTTTGGGGCAGAGCCTGTCTTGAAACCAGAGCTCACCACAAAGTTCTTGAACTTCTACATGCAGTCATCTTGGTAACCTCTCTCAGTTGAGTTTCAAGGGCCACCAGCAAAGAATAAAAAATAAATAAAATAATTCTACAGGGGTAGGTTTTGACTTCAGAGAAATAAGTAAGCATTTTTTTTGTGGGAAGCACTGAATAGTTGCAGGGAATTATCCTATATGGTGATATATTCCAGACCATGGATTGCTTCTTAAATGAGTTGACAGGATGCTGAACTTTGAAGCAGGTGTTCATTTGACCAGTTAGTCTTTAACTTCCTTTTGAAACAGATTGAGTTACTTTTTTTCTTGGTGATTTTTCTCAAATATGATAGTGTAAGTGTCTTAAGAAAAGTCAAGTTTGAGATGCTTTAGATTAAGGGAGGGTTTTGGTGCAATGTTTCTAATGGGTAGCTAAGATGGGGAGTTGAAACAAATTTGACTTGATGCTTGGATAGCAGAGGGTTCTTTTACATTTGGAAGCACAGTTGGGATTTTTATTTTTGGGGCCGTGCATTTCATTTTGACTCAAGGTTACTGAAATGCTCCCAGGTTGAAAAGGCCTAAAAGGGGAATAATCCAGGAGGCAAATTTTTTATTGTTTTCAGGATTTTCTCATGCAAATCCTTAGCCAGGAATGCACAAAAAGTGCCACCCAGTGAGAAATTTTTATAATTATTTTTCATTCAAAATTTTCAGCAGGATTAGAAAATGAATATTCAACTTCTACCTGATTCAGGGCTTGGTACAAAAGTAGAATTTTTAAAATTTCCAGTGCTTGGTGGCACAAAATTTTTCAAAAATATCCCATCTTTGCTTTAATGGGGTTAAGGGGGTACTCAATTGAGAAAGGTTTTAGTTATCAAGGGCCAAAAGTTTATTATCTTACACTGTTCAGATTAATTAAACTGGATATTTCAATTGCTATAACAAGCAGATTCACTATAGTCTGCATTCTTTTAGATTTTTATGTAACTGAGCAATCATCAAATGCTAAAGGATTTTGATTGTTTTTCATATCTTCATGTAACACTTAACTTCTGCTTGAATGAATTGAATTTGTCAACAGGAGTAACAACTGTTTGAAATATATGTTATAAATCTTATGCTCATGTGGAAAATCGGAATGGAACTCCTACTTGGCAAACATAGGTTAATACTTTTTGTGCAAAATTAATTGCTGTGATTATTTTTCCACCACAGAAAAGAAAAATCCTCAAACAGGGCATCAGCTTTCATAGCATTCCTTCCCTTTGAAGAATCAGAGAAACAGTCTTTCTTATGTCCATATCTGGTTATTCATTATATCAGCAGTCAAAGATTTTTTTCAGTGACATTTACTTCTCTAATATAACTGTAAAGGAAAGTAAAAAAGTCTTCACACTCATGTTGAAAGCGGTTCAAAATTTTCTGTAAAAACTTCCACCATACTGGATTGACAATTGAGTAAAGTTGCAAAACTGATGCTGAAGTGTCACAAATATTTAAACCGGGGGGGTTCCTCATGTGCAGAATTTTTTTTGGACAGCATATGCACACCCTTTTTGAGGGACCAAAAGGTTTACCCTCATTCACTTGAGATTATTTAGGAAAGAACTTGGTGAAAGCCCTTTGGAAATTCGTTGGAATGATTAGAGGCTGATTCAATCTGTGGAAAAGCATTCCACAGGGAGGCTGCTCGCTGACGGGAATTTATGGGCGGGAGTTCGTCTGGGCACTGCCCCTGGCTGTCATACCCTCACTGCCAAGCCAACCATATCTCACACCCAAAGGTCTTCCTATAACGGATTTATTTCCCAGCCACGACCCAGGCTTCTAGCGACACCTATCCAAGCTCGCTCCGCCAGAGCAGAGCTCTAGTTATGAATACTCACTGTAGGTGTCGCGCGGGGTCATCTTGCATGACTGCTGGAGACTTCCTGCGGAGAATAACAGAATTCAAGTTGGAATAACATGCCACATTTCATAAATGTTTTATTTTATTTCCAGAATGAGGATAAAATGTGTTGAGTTAAAGCGAAGACTTGAGCACACAGCCACTCATTCAGGCCCTGGTGCATCACCATCACCTCCCTGCAAAAAAAAAAAATATATATATATATCAATGAAGATTATCATCAAGTCTGAGGTGCTTTTTCATTCTATTTGGAATCTTCTGAAAATTTATGTTTTACTGCTTATGAATCAATGGATGACATGAAATGATGAACCAAGATTTTTTAAAAAACATTTTAGCAATGGAAGGTTTCAATGAGACCTCATCTCCTTGATCAGTGTAGACCCCAGCAGCATAGTTGACAGCTGCAAAAAGCAGAGCCCCCACCAAGGCAACCCCAGCCAACTTGAGCAGAGTGGAACCCCAAGACCCAGATTCCTCACACTTGGGCAAAGGAGGCTTCAGGTCACACCTGGGAGGACTTGGTTTGGGAACCTCACAACAGATCCTAATGGTCTCCTGAGGAGCTGGGCAACATGGCTTGACTGGAGGAGGACAGCACACCTTTGGCACTTTGCAATCCCCCATTCTGGCCAATAATGTTAAAAGTAAATGGTAATAAAATTCAGTAACAAGTAATGAAGAGGGTAATGAGTAATTATACAACCAGGAGAGAAATGTCTGTCATCATATAGCACCATTTTTGTCAGGTAAGGAACCTTCCCCAGCCTCTCATTTCTGCCCTTTCTTGCATTATTCTGCAGCAGCTCCTTCCTCACCAGCCTTAATAATAAGAAAAATAATCATTACATCTCATTGAATCATGAATAGAAGCAATTGATACCACTTCCTCATCTCCTGAACAACACAAGGAGTTGTAAGCAAGGTAAAGCCCAGCTAAAGCAACTGTGCCAACACCAACATAAATCAAAGCCTTTTTCAGAGACTGTAATCTGGGGTCAGGTGGACAACTATAGTAAGCTGGTGGGTCAAGCCTCAGCTTATAACAAGACACACAAGTTGGCTTACTCATGATGAAGCTAATGGAGATTAAAAGACTAATACCTCATTTGGAGAAATTCAAAAAAGGGGTAGGCAATTGACACAAAGAAACCTTCTAAGGGGAGCACCAACCTGGTCTTCACTACCTCCAGCACCAGATAGCATGTTAACTGCAGTGTAAACTGCTAATCCTGCTGCCAAAACAAGTGCAGCAGTCTTAACAGTGCCCCACCATCCAGGGGACTCTTCACAGGCCACAGGGGGTTTGATGGGGGTGCACTTGATGCAGCAAGTCTTAGCCATGATGTGGGGGGTTAAGGATTAAAGACTAATGAAGGGGGTTAACACTAAGTTGTTTAAGTCCAAGGGCACATTTAGAGATGATGGTGATAGTAGAAATCACCTCTTTCACACTATAGTGGTGAAGGAAAGGGGACCAACTTTCAAGGTTCTCTTCATTCTGCTGCTGCTCCTGACTCTGGATCTCCATTCTCTTCACTTTCGCCCATGTTCTATTTTCAAAACATAATCATCATGAGTCCACTTGGTAATGAATTAGGTACTTAGGCAAGTATAGGCCACAACCAGATGTTTATCCAGAAAACAGGAGTTAGGCTATTTCTTTGAAACATCTTGTGCCATATTTACTGTACAATATTTATGTGGCACTCAAGAAAACATTAAGCAAACAATACAAATTCTCAATTTTAAGAGCCTCTTGGCATTCATGTCCAGATGGTACCTCACAATTTCACCTCATGCATTTCAACCATCCCACAATTTGAAAGTTTAATTTTATGAGAGATTGATCTGCAATTTTACCTCTGCCCAACAATTGGACCGGCTTCAGAGTGTTTCTGTGTTGCTCTTAATTAAATTTACAGAGTTTCACAATAAGACATAAGTCCAGTTCTGGACAAGTCAAATATTGCAGGGTACCACTATATTACCTCAAATTCAAGACAGACAAAAATTATCCAGATCAACCATAAGAGCATTAATGACATTTGAGCATTTTAATATCTGGATGTAACGCTCAGGAAAAATTGTTAATTGAACCTTTTGATCAAAAATCTATTAATTCACTGTTTATTCCTAGGAAATTTCCTCAAGTCCATTGCAATTTAAATCTATAGCTCAAAACCATCTGGGGCAAACCCTCACAAATCTAATTGTAAATGCCTTTTCATCACTAGCTTATTTGGGGCTAATTTTTGAAACACATGTTACATGAAGAAACCACAGCATAGATGGCATTTTTTTTATTTCCAAAAGGGAATTATCTCATGTGGTTAGGACATCTGTGATAAAGAAAAGTTCTCTTAGTTTGGCTGCGCTGGAAAATAAATTTCCATTCACTAACCTTCCCACATTAAGTACAAGTTATGGTACTTTACTGTTATCTCTGTACCTACTTTCCGGTTATCTCTGTAGCTTCCCTCTGACCAATTTAACCTGACCTAACCCAACTTCACATAACAGCCTCCCAAAATCAGTTTCAGCAGAATGTGGAAAAATAAAATTCACAGAAACTGATTTTGGGAGGCAGTTAGGTAAAGTTAGGTTAGGTCAGGTTATGTTGATTAAAAGATATTTGTAACTCACATAACCTGACCTAACCTAACCTAACTTTACCTAACCGCCTACCAAAATCAGATTCAGCAGAAAGCAGAAAAATAAAATGCAGTTTCTGTTAGGTTGTTGTGATTATGAACTTGTCCTAAAGATTTGTCTGGATGGTAGTGTGGTCTAGGCATGAGGTACAGAGATGACAGGAAAATGCCCAAATTTCTGAATTAATTGAATAAGTTTCTATCTCTTCCATTTCTCTTAAACTGAATGTCAGCTCTATAATTGATATTAGAAAATGAACCTAATTTTCTAATTGTACAAGAACCAGGACCCACCAAAACAGTATAATGATATTCAAGGTAGATACAGTTGGTTTTACTTGCTGGAAAACGTCATATGGCCTATATTTGCCTATTTAAATTTTATTTTGAAAATTACAGCATAGACGGAGTAAGCCAATGCCAGGACAGCTGCAGCAAAACCCAGCATCTTGAGGCCATATGTCCATGACTCAAAAGTGGAACACTTGTCCTCAGGCTTAAATGGCCTCATGGTGTACCTAATCTTGCACTTTGTATCACATGGGTTGAAACAGGGTGGAGGCTCACAAGACGCATTCCCCTTTGCACCTTCCACTTTAGCTTCACCAGCAGTTTCTTTGGCCTTGCCAAAGAATGCTCTGTAAGCTGCCATCTTGGGTGGACTAAAGCTATGATTAACAAGTTAATGATGAAAGACTTGCTAAGGGGTATTTGAAGGTTCATGGCTGGAAAAAAGGGGGATTCTGGCTTGATGAAGGTTTGTCTCACTCTCCAGGAACAGACTGTTGCTCAGAACCACCTTCTTCTTCATTGGTGGGATCCTCATCCACCCAATCCACCATGTTCTTGAAAAAAGCAGAGAAACAATAAAAGAATTGAATATACAAGACTTTTTCAGCTTACTGTGAAAATGGAATATCCCATGACCCCAATAGCAAGCACAAAAACCAGCATTGGCCAGTAAGAAGTAGAAGCTTCCTGCAGCTCTTCACAGATGTCTCTCCTACTGATGTCCCTCAGTCCATATTTGTCTTGCACTTGAACCTTACAAGCATTTACACAGTTGAGTGAAGGACAGCATTTGGGCTTGGGGTCCATGCTCCTGATGAGCTCTGCTTCTTTGCCTATGTAGGCTTTATGTAGTGACAATAACATGGTTAAATTGAGAGTAACAATGTGTGGGGATAATCAGGGGATAAAACCTTGTGAAGGCTTATTCATATGATTCTGAACTTCATTATTCAGGGATTTTGGAAGGCCATTTGTTATTAACCATGAGGTGTGTATGCAAATGGGTCAAGGAATCCAAGGAATGATTTTGATTTCCTGTGTCGCCAAATTTGCATATTATCAGCTTGAGAAGTTGTGATCAGCATTTGAAATTTGCATTGCTTCAATTCTGGACAGTAATGATTTCATCAAATCACATTTTGTGCCAAAAATGTTTGAGAATTCTTTGCTCTTGATGCTTTCTCACAGCAGGTGGAAAAACCTATTGATGTTTTTGAAAAGGGTGGTACAGCAATCTGCAAAAAGCAATTTAAATTCATTGTGATTGAGATGCTCTATTTAAACTTAATTTTAGCACAGCCAAAATATTTGAAGATATCTTCTTGAATCATCAAATAAGTTTAAATGTCCATAGTATTTAAATTTTGATAAAAGAAGTTGACTGAGATTTTGATCTTGTGAGGAAATTTATTCAAATCATTGAAACATGAATAATTGCTTTCACACAAAAGAGACACAAATCAGAATTTTAATCAGTAAAATCATTCACAAACATTCAATCAATTGCAACAGAATCCCAAGTCCCAACAGTTTAGCTTCCTCTCCTTATATATTTGTAAAAAAAAAACATTTCAGAAGTGTAAAAGTTGAATGCAAACAGAAACTTCTGAGGCTGTATATGTTGCAAATCATACCCTTTTTGAAATGTGAAGTTCTACACTATTTTGGATGATGTTTTTTGGTATACTGTTGATTATCACACTCTGATTAGTCTTGCTAATAAAAACCATCTGAGCAATTAAAACAACTCTAACAGGCAAATGTAATTTTTTATATCTTGAAATTTTGATTTAAAAGCAGTTTACTTTGCTTTTTTAATTTTCTGAACAGACTTTATTTCAAGAAGATTTAAAAAAAAGCAAACCTGGATACCAAAAAAAACCCAAGCCCCTGCAGTATCTTTCTTATGTATTCTTCAAGATTTTGTTTTAAAAAGTTGGAGGTACATTACTTGCATTGCTCTGAGCTCAATTTCAGTAAAACACATTTGATCATTCATGTTCATGAAATTGACATATATTTCTTCTCAGGTCATTTACAAGCATAGTGTAAATCATTTTCTTCTATGTGAATTGTGGCCAAAGCACTGGAAACACATCCCAACATCTATACATTTTACTTTCCTAGAACTAAATCCCTATTCCTTGGAGCTGGGTTTATTAGCTCTATTTCAGCTCCCAAAAAATGTCCTACTCATATGCCAGCTAGTTTCCTTCTTGATGAATGTATATCTTGAAGAAAACTATTGATTCTTCAACTTCCAAAAAAATATCTCCAGGAAAAATACAAGAGTGGCTAAAGCATAACCCGCCAAAAGGCAAAATGCAACACCCTTGATGTGTTCCAGTTGCACAGGGTGTAAGTCTCTGCTTTGCCCTGCTTTTGAAGTTGCACTCAGCATCTCCTTGACAATCCTAATGTACTTGGACTCATCATACTTTGCTAATCCATGCTGAATGTACTTTTCCAGTCCCATCTCTGCTTTTGCGCGATCTGGGTGATCCTTTCTAAAGAAATATGTCCTGTACAAAGGGGGGAAGATCTTTTTGTCCAGTGGCAAAACATAGAAGTTGCTCATGGTGAAGTTGTCTCTAGACATTCCAACTGCCCTCAGGTAGATGAGGAATGCCTCATCAAACAATATGGTGTCTGTCCTTGGTATGTGAGGGAAATAGTTTTCAGGTGCCAATGGTATCCTTTTTGCTCTTATTCCATGTAACACTGGATCAGGATTCTTGTCAAAAGCTTGATTCAGGGGCAAAGAAAATGGATTCACCATGACCTTGTATTCAGAGCTGGCTATCCCTGCCAAAGAGGTGATTCTTCTACCCTCAGGGTTCATGAAGAAATCAAAAAGCACTGCAGTGTAGATTATGTATATGAGAAAACTGCCCCAAAGCCAGCTTGTAAAAGGAAAAAGTCTGAGTTTCTCAGGTACAGGTGTAGACTCTGTCATTCCTTGGCCAATCAGACATCCCAAAAGGTCCAACCAGTGATACTTTTGGTTTTTGAAAATGAATTTGAGTAGGAGAGCCATAGATAGGAGACTTAGTATGATGAGCAACCAAGAAGCCACATTGAAGGGCTGGATGAAAGACAACAGCTCATTTGGTGGCACAGGAACCAATGCTGCAAATGTAGTTTCTGCCATGAGCTGGTTCAAGCAGAGACCAGTGACGCATCTGTTTGGGAACCAGTTGCCAAGTACCATATCTGCTCTTCCTGCCATGATCTGCAAAGTATGAATGTCTTTCAATCTCACTCATTCCTGAAATAGACAAATTCTTGATTTTTCTCCAAGCTTTGCACACAAAGATAGCAACATTTGTCTGTAGAAGTACAATAGCAATGCCAGTGATGGTCAATTTGATAAATTCTTGTCCACATCATTTGAAAACTCACAACAAAGATACTTCTGTTCATCCTGATGGCCCAGACTTTTTATTTCAACAAAGTCAATTGGACATGGTGTATGTAAATAGTACAATGAAGATTCAATGTATTTAACCCTTGGACAGCGGAGGGTTCTTTCCCATAGCAGGACAAAATTGGATTATTTTTGTATGTTCCCTCATTTTAAGTTTTTAGAAGGTCAGGAAAACCCTTCCAGGTGGGCTGAGGCAAAGTTGGGATTAATCCAAGAAAAGCCGGTAGCGTCCCTGAGCATTTTTTTAATGTTCCAGAAAAATTTTTCTGCCCCCAGGGAAAAAAACGTTGGGATTTTTCCCGAGTTTGCCCTTCACCACCTGTTCTCATTTTTTTCTTGACCTCTCTGAGGTGCAACAAAATTTCACAAAAATAGTCCAACTTTGCCGCCCAAGGGTTAAATTATAGTACAGTATAACAAAAATTCATAATTTCACTGAAGTACTGTAAAGAATGCATCAGGACAGTTCTTGCATAATTATCAAACAAAATTTATTTGATGGCCCATTCCTGAAGAATAAAATACAGTATGGGCAGTGGCCCAAAATTTGACCTAGGGTCAAATTGCTAAGCAGCATCAAATGCAGTGTTCTCTACATTGTGTTTGATGTTTTTGCCCATCTCTATGTGTCAAATTGCGGGGCCTACGTCAAATTGCCATTTGACCTCCCAGCAAATTTCACTGTCAAATTGTGGGAGGTTGAATTGCATGGTACCACCTGCACTTGGTCTTTGAAAATCACAGAACAATACAAGGAAATTTTCATCTTAGATGATTGCACATGTATTACCATTTTGACCAGCCCAGCAAACAAAACTCTTGTTGAAACTGATTGAGGGCTCTTTCATTTTGTTTTCAAAAGTACATAATTAAAAATCAGCGGACTGCAACATAACTTTGACTTTCTAGTATTTTTTAAACTGTCTGTAATCAACATTTTCCAGCATTTGTAAAACATGATTTGAGAGATAATCTCTTGAAAAGTGTTGAAAGTACTTGCATCTCCTTGTGCTCCTGTCCAGGTTCCATTTGACAAAAGTACTCCAAAATCATTTCCATCTGTTGCAAGTTTGAAAACAATAGTCTTGTTCAGATAATCTCCCAAAAACACTGCATGGTCTCTAATAAGTCCCGTACATTGCCTTATGTCAGAATTTTCCTTGCATCCCCACCAGTTCCTTACCCAAGGAACACTGCCTGTCTTCACATACACAAACTCGAGTATGTTACTGACGTTGCTATGGAGATTTTCATGTTTTTGTGAGGTGAGGTTGACTTCTGTGAAGGTGAACATGGTTCAAGACTGAGATCAAAGAATCAAATGCTTGGCTTTTATAATGAAATGGAAGGGTATGGATAATTGTAACCTTATTTGCATAAATGAGCATCAATATCCCTGCAAGGAACAATCCTTGAAATTGCATTTAGAATCACCCTTGATTTCCATTGCCAACATTTGAAATGAGATGGAAGACATTGCTGTAATGGTGGTTATTCATTGTGAATCTAAAATGCATACAAAATCAGGTTATCAAAAGGAAATCGTTTCATTAAAGCAGATAGCCAAGTGCTTTTTGTTGGCCATGGCACAAAAAAAATTGTAATTTTAGATTTAGAAATGAACTGTCAAATGCCATGTAGAAAACAAGCCATTTGATGTACTCTGGCAATTCAATCACTTATTGAAATTCAATCCTAGTCCACAAATTGATCAGGGTCAAATTGCAAGGTTCCACCTGCATAGTGAAACGTGTTATGGACTATATTGTATTCCGTAATTTTACTATTCTTGATTGTGTCATAAATCTCATAATCCATAGCTTTCAAAAAATGAAAAAATGCACAAATATCTGTGAAACAAATCTGAGCATGTACTAAACATACATGACCTTTTTGATACAATTTTTTCAAATTCAGAACAATCAGCAATATTTTATTTCTTGATTTGGATTGTGTCCCATGTACAAGAAAATACTCTATATGTAATTACAAATGCTGCTTTTTAAAATTTCTAGAAGTGAAAGTTGTCACCAAAAGAAACATGTCCTACAACAGGTGAATAGTATTGCTCTCTGTATTTCATGTTCCGGAATGTTCCATAAATTCTGCCTAGCAACTTGCTGCTCCAAAGCAGATGACAAGGTCATTGTGCATACTAGATGCATTGTCTGGTTTGCGGTCATTTGCCCAGTCCCCCTTTCTGTTGCCCCGTTTTGGTTGCCCAGTTGCATCTGGCTTTGCTCAAGTCTATAAAGGCACTGCAAAGTGTATGTATCAGTATTCATTGTTGGTATGACTCTTGTTCATCGCAGTCTAGAGAAATATAAGTATCACTTAAATTCAATAAGTCTAGATTCACTTAGCCCGGCCATGAAGACTAGAATTCTTCTTGACAAAAGGTTTATCCTGGAAAGTTGAGATCAAAGATTAATTGTTTGTAAAAGAAAGACGTTTCTTTTCTTGCAAAAGTGTCTTTAATCAATTCTTTTGCTGGTTTGGGATAACAAAGTATACTTATAAACTGCATTCTGGTCAAATATTTGATCTTTGCTGAAATTGCTTGGACCAATGAAAGCAAGTTCACTTTCCACAGAATTTCTTGACACACATTCATAGTGACATCAATTCTTCAGCTTCCAAAAACAAAGCTCCAAGAAAATGCAAGAGTTGCCAAAGTATGACCAGCTAAAAGGCAAAATCCCACCCCCTTGATGTGTTCCAGTTGTATAGGTTTCAAGTCTCTGCTTTGTCCTTTTTTTGAACTCATGCTCAGCATCTCTTCAACAACTCAAATGTACTTGGACTCATCATAAATTGCAAATCCATTTTCAATGTACAGTACTGTACTTTATAACTCCCATCTCTATTTTTTTGCAATCTGGGTGATCCTTCCTGAAGTAAGAGGCCCTGTTCAAAGGTGGGAACATCTTTTTGTCCAGGGGTAAAACATAAAATTTGCTCATAGTGAAGTTGTTTCCAGACATTACAACTGCCCTCAGTTAGATGAGGAAAGCCTCATCAATGAATATGGTGTCTTTGTGAATGTGTGGTAAATATATGTACCTGGTGGCATTGGGGTTCTCTTGGCCCTTATTTGATGCATCACTGGGTCAAGGCTGGTTTCTATACAGAAAGGTTTATTGCTAGAGATGATGGGTTAGTGTAGATCTTGTACTCTGAGCTGGCTATCCCTGCCAAAGAGGTGATTCTTTTACCCCCAGGGTTCATGAAGAACTCAAAAAGCACCACTGTGTAAATTATGTAAATGAGGAAGGTGCCCCAAAGCCAATTTGTAAATGGAAACAGTCAGAGTTTTACAGGTACTATTGCAGACTCTGTCATTCCTTGGCCAACAGACATTCCAGAATGCCCAACCAATGGTACTTTTGATTCTTGTAAATGAACTGAAGTAGGAAAACCATAGATATGAGACTCAGTAGGATGAGGATCCATGAAATCATGTTGAAGGGCTTCACAGAAGGCAGGAGCTCATTTGGTGGCACAGCAATTAGGACTGCAAATGTTGTTTCTGCAATTTAGTCCAAGCAGAGTCCACTGGAACATCTTTGAAGGAACCATTTGCCAACTGAGCAATTGCTGCTCCCTCTCATGAGCTGCAAAGAATTAAAATCCTAGCAATGCCTGTGTCAAATATTGGTAAGATGTATTGATTTTTCAATTGATACAAATTCAAATTAATTCTTTCCCTTCAGATTTGAGCAGGAAAAATTCTTGTTCTTGAAAAAAATGCTTGGACATTCAATCCAATATAAACATGGATAAGTACCAGGTTATAGCATATAATTTTAAAGCAAGATCACCTAAATAAGCGTCAAAATACGTATTGAGAAGTAGGAACTTCTTTTAGCCTGAAGTTCTTTGAAAAATTGTTGAGTTAATAAGACTCTGAATGAGTCTGGCAAAGCTTTTTAATTGTTATCTGCCATATCATAACTATTAAAATCCATTTTGAGGGAATTTTTTCCAAGTGCAGTGGAAATAAAATGGGATTTATAGTCAATTTTGGTAAATCTCGATTGTTCCTAAATTTTTTATCTGACGGAAAATATTTGTCACAAATATTCTGGCACTTTTTCAAAATGATATTTGAATTTCATTCTTAAAATTGTGAGCATTATTCATTCTGAACATATTAATATAAATAAAAATCACTTGCATCTCCTTGTCCTCCAGTCCAGGTTCCATTGGGCAGAAGATTACCAAAATCATTCCCAGTTTCTTGTTTATAAACCACAGTTTTGTTGAGATAATTTCCCAGAAATAAAGCATGGTCTCTAAGGATTCCTGTACATTTTCTTATATCAGACGTTTCTTCACATCTCCACCAGTTTTTTGTCCAAAAAGTACTACCTGTTTGCACATGAATAAATCTAAGAAAATTCCTGGTACTGTGTTTAGTCTTCGGGATTTGTGAGCTGAGATTTTGCTTGAAAATAAACATCGTTTAAGACTGAAATCTCAGAAGCACTGAGAAGTTTTTTTATAAATGCTTGGGCAAAGTATGGATAATACTGTCCTATTTGCATAAGCAAATGGGCCATTCTGCCAAATTATCCAAGGAATTGTATTTGGAATGGTTGCCTTCATTTGCAATCAAGTATTTAACCTTTTTAATTCTGTTAGAGCTACAATGTTAGGATAATATGAAGAGTTTTAATCTCATATGTAAAGCATATTTGACCCAAATTCATTGAAAACTTTATGAAATGGGCATTCGCAAAATCAAATTCTTCAAGGCTCCACTTCTCTGCATTTTGAGAGCTTCAAATGCTTTGTATCAATCTTAGAAACCTTCTGTTTTTCACCTAATGGCAGTATACCTTGCCTAATGCTTGAAGTTTAAAACTTTATTGAAAATGGAAAGCAATTCTTCTTTAAAATAAAATGTTCTTGAATTGAATGGAAAGATAATGTTTATTCCTTTTGATAATCATGTGATGTGTAGTACTGTATTTCTAAATTATGGATATAATAGACAACAATATTCTCCAAAAATACCCTCATACATGAATTGAAGATTATTTGGATTTCCTCTCTCGAATTTTGAGTATTACTCTGATCATAATGATACAAAGGAAAAATATTACTTGCCTCTCCTTGTCCTTCAGTCTAGCTTCCATTGGGCAGAAGATTTCCAAAATCATTCGCAGTAGCTTGTCAATAAACCACAGTTTTGTTGAGGGGATTTCCCAGAAATGAAGCATGGTCTTGAAGGATTCCTGTACATTTTCTTACATCAGATGTTTCTTCACATCTCGACCAGTTTTTTTTTTTCAACCCCACAAACAGTACATGTCTGCACATGAACAAATTTCAAAACATTATTTCTGCTGCTGTGTCCACGGATAGGTATTTGTGAGCTGAGATTTTGCTTGAAAATTAATTTGGTTCTAGACTGAATCCTCAGAAGCACCAAGAAATGCTTTATGAATGCTCAGGAAAAGTATGGATAAATGTGTCCTATTTGCATAATGTTGATTGCACCAGACCTTGTCCGAACGCTGACTCTACGCCGCTTTGCTCTGTAGAATTGTATTGTATTGACTGTGTGTGAAGATATAATAAATAATACTTTGAAAATACTCTCACGGAGTAACTTTTGCGTTTCCTTCGGAAGTCGCGGAAAACGGTTTAAATCTCCAATCCCCTTTTCCATTAATTGTTAGAAGTAGTCTTCAACGACTGATCATAGTTGATTCCTCACTTCTTAAAAAATTGTTTTTGGATAACACATTCGTAGTAGCTTCTCAATAAACCACAGTTTTGTTGAGGGGATTTCCCAGAAATGAAGCATGGTCTTGAAGGATTCCTGTACATTTTCTTACATCAGATGTTTCTTCACATCTCGACCAGTTTTTTTTTTCAACCCCACAAACAGTACATGTCTGCACATGAACAAATTTCAAAACATTATTTCTGCTGCTGTGTCCACGAATAGGTATTTGTGAGCTGAGATTTTGCTTGAAAATTAATTTGGTTCTAGACTGAATCCTCAGAAGCACCAAGAAATGCTTTATGAATGCTCAGGAAAAGTATGGATAAATGTGTCCTATTTGCATAAGCAAATGTTCCATTCTGCCAAGGTATCCAGGGAGTGGTATTTGGAATGATTGCCTTCATTTCCAATCAAGTATTTAAACCGTCTGTTATTAGATGGAAAACTTCCACAATGGACTATAGTTCCGTATTTATCCACAGGAACAGTTATATGGAGTGTAATTGGAAAATGTGAACCTTTGAATTGTTATGGGAAGGACAACTTGAATCTAAAAATAGGGGAGCACTGAAAGAATCTTAGCATTAATTATTAGTTTACTGCAAAACTATTTGGTATTTGCCCCTGCATTTGATCCTTAATTTTCCAGATGTTTTCTTAAGGAAAAAGTATATATATCTTAACTCACTGTTACATTTTATATTTAAAAAATAAAGGTCACAGAAATTCAGGGCAATTGTTCACTCAATAATCACAAGTTTCTGTCACCTTATTGCTAGAATGTATGCATAATTTGTTTTGTCAACTCAAGTGATCTGATGTGATGATTCTTAAATAAAACAGTTCCAAAATATATATATGTATAAAAGATATTTTTTATTCACAACCAATTTGTTCAAAGACAAATACAACAAAAACAAAACAAGTTTTAAGAGAATCTTGTTAAACGTACACAAGGTTCTCTGAGAAGTAACCGTGGTTGACACAGGATTAAATCTGAGGAAAATATTGTTCCTCAGCAATATATATGCTTTTCAGGTATACAGGTCAACAACAAGGTATGCCGGTCATCAACAAGGTATTTCATATATTATTCATGAGGGCGCAGGCCTCATGAAGTGAAATATTTGGAACATGATACAGAATAATATATATATATGCAAATCCGTTGTATATGGTATATACTTCTGGAATTTGTATTTCAGAGGTGCGGCAGCATGGATATGTGCAGGGATAACATTTGTCACTGTCAAGAGTGAGGGGGGAGTTTTATTAGTTAAAGAGGACAAAAGCGCGTCATGCTGTTTAACCTGGGGTGACGTGTGAAGAGAGATTTCAAAACAAGGGGAACAGCTGCAAGGAGAAAACCTTGTTTGCTTCCTCGAAGTAAGGTGCAATTTAAAAAGAGGTCTTGGAAACAAACCCGATGTTCGCGTGATGCGTCGTAACGATTGATTTTTATGTGAAGCGCGATTGAAAATGAAAAAACTAAACAGTTTGTTCAGTTCTAGGGCGTATAAAGAAGATTTCCTGCAAGGAGAAAATCTTGTTTGCTTCCTCAAAGTAAGGTGCAATTTAAAAAGAGGTCTTGGAAACAAATCCAAGTATTTCCTGGATAAAAGATGACTGAAATTTCTGTCTCAACTTTTTTTGAAGTTGCAGAGCAGATTTGAAAGCTTTCCACCATATAATTTTTTTATTATTATTTATACTGAAGTCAATCTGTAAGGAATATAAAGTTATAAATTTTAAACCAATACAACATGCAGTTTTCAACTTATTGAACACTGTCAATAAGTGGTAAATAAAGCCTATTCATCAACAAATCCATCAATCTGATTTCTAAAAAATACCTTCCATATTTTCCTGCCTTCAGAAGCTGGGAGAATAACAGGTTTGTTGTTGATAAAATTGGTGACTGAATCTGGCTTCAAAGTGGGGTAAAGATGCTGCCCATCTTGAGGAAAATCTCCAAGTCTAAGCCTTGCAAACTTTTAGTCCTGGTCGGATTTATTGCAGTTTTTAATCGTTTTTTGAATGTCTTAATTAGTGTGAGTAGTCCAACTGTGAATCCTACTCCGGAATCCATCAGACCTGCCTTATTGATGAATGCTTGTGACTTTAATGACTCTGTATTTAAAAACTGGGATCTGGGAAACCAGAGTGATCCACACTTGTTGCAGCTGATTAAAAGCACTGTGCTTTTGAAGTATGAAGATCCTGAGCAAAGCAAAAATTCTGATGTTGTGGGAATGTTTGATCTTTTGGATAATTACTTTGATCCCTCTGATGGGTCATTTATGAAGAGGTACATCATTCCAAGATTTTTTGCTCAAGTGAGTCTTGCTTTATGCAATATTGTCATACATTTTATATTGTTTTCACTTGATTATACAGTATTGCACGCTTGAGTAAGACGTGTATCTGAAAATTTTTAGCCCAAATATTGGATAAAAAGTATCCCCAAGTAGGAATTGCGCCTCATTTTTAAAAACTGAAAATTGAAATACTTGGAAAATAACATACACCTGACTTTAAAGTTTTACTTGAATTATTACAGTCAAATTACATTTTAATTTTACATCTTTTACAGTTTTGAAATTTCCGTTGTAATTGGTTAAAAATGCCTTTAGGACTCAAGCTTGATTTCAACATCTAAACAGTACAGTAAAATTGCATTACAACAATGTCTCTGGGATAAGTGCACTTCTTTTGTTGTGAAGAAAATTTTCCAATGAAGTAAGCAAATAGCCACAATTTGAAAGATGCACTCTCTTTCCTTTTTATCAATGTTGAAAAAAGTGTGAGCAGTAATTGAATAAATATGTCAATTTCTGTGTCAAAATGAGTAAATTCATTAGAAAAAATATGTTAGGAGAATCTTGATTGCTTTAGGTCAGTTTCACAGACAATAATGGTTTTCTATCTTTCAATTCATTTTGGTTCCAATGTAGTCCTTGAATTATTGATGTTTATTCTGAATGTGATGCTAGACCTGTGTAAAATAAACTTCATTAGTAACATTTTGTTGTGGAACAACATGCAAAATTATATGATTTTATTTTTTTCCAGTATACAAAGCCTGGAGTGTTTGTAGAAGCAGGATCATCTAATGGGAAACACCTTTCAACCAGCTTTTACCTGGAGAAAAGGCTGGGCTGGACTGGTGTGTTGGTGGAACCCAGTCCAGAATGGGACCCACTGAGTTCTGCCAGGCGCCTCAAAAGAGGAAACTCATTGAATGCTGGGATTTGCCTGGCCCCACAGCCCACACCTTGCAGGGTACCTCTCTGACCTACACATTATTGCCACTTGAATAACCCCATTTGGGTGGTGGAGGCAGGTTGTGGTGTATACTGTATATATACCATATTCACTCAGGTAGCCTCTTGGAAATAAGGGAAGCACTTGAGTTTATGTGTGGTATCTGGTATTCATGCATGCAAAGTTTATGCAAAACTTTTAGGATCCAGCAAAAAGTACAATCCAGTCAAAAAACTGCCAAATATAGAAATACTGTAGTAAAGATTGTAAGCTCAAATGCAAGCTATTTATTTGATTTCATTTAAATGAATCAAGCGATATTGTCTTGAATGTAGGTACACAACAGACTTGATTTGTGCAACAGACTATAGTCAGTTGTATGAAAAGTCTTTTATGCAGATTTAGTCCATTGCACGGGAGGGAAAACTGCCTCCAGTGGTGGTATGTTGTGCAAAACCCTTTTGTGCAGGAGGTCTGTTGTGCGGGGGTTAAAAGTATTTTGTCAAACATTTTCTTCAAGAAAATCAGGGTGAGCATCTCAAATGGGGTAATTGATTGAATACCATATAAAAAGTACAAAAATATTTTTCAATTTTTACAATAATGGCAAATTTTTTAGTAAAATATAGATTCCCAGAAATCAGCACTTTTTTATGCACACCTCCCCAATATAGGATTAATGTGGAAGGTCTGTATATAGAAACAATAGCGTTCAACCATTCAAAGCTTCTTTCAGGCTTCAATATTTTGAGTTCAGGCTGCATTTTGCTTAAATTTTGTAAAACCAAAACACACTTACACACACACACACACACACACACATAAAACACCTGTCTCCACTGGGTGATTTAAACTGAGCCCTCAACCATCCAAAAAAAAGGGTACCTCCAATATTCTGTAATAAATTTCTGTCTGCAGGCAACTCTGTCAGTAGACACAGATTCATTAGGTGGTGGTAGAGGGACCATTTTACCATATCACATAGATGAGGAGGCTCTAGGGAGATACCAAACACAAGTGGACTGTTTTCCTCTGTTTGCTGTTTTGGCTGCTGCAGGAATGACACAAGTGGACTTTTTATCCTTGGATCTGGAAGGTGTGGAGGCTTGGGTGCTTTGGACTGTCCCATGGGATAAAGTGGATTTCAAGGCAAGCAAATTTTAAATTTATTTTGAAAGAGTTATTTTTCAAAGTTCTGTACAAATTCTGTACTTTTAAACATGAAATCTTTGAACAAATGAAATAGGGCATCCAACAGTAGCTAATCCAATTTTCAGGTGCATTTGCATTCAAAATGACCAATCTAAATGCATTTACTAAAGTATGAACAAAACAAATTGCAATAAATCACAAATAATTTTTTTAAACAAATTTAGGCATATATATATATATATGTAAGTGAACCATTGTCCAACTGCCAAATGATATATGACTTACTGAATTAATGACTTACTGAATTAATCACAATAACTGTACAGTTGAACTTTGCTAAGTCAAACCTCCCAATAAGTCAAATATACTTCCCTATTAATTCAAATTTCTTTTTTGTCCCCTTCTGGATTCCCTTGGACACAGTTCATTAAAAACCTCCCAAACTTAATGGCTTTTCATCNTGACTTACTGAATTAATCACAATAACTGTACAGTTGAACTTTGCTAAGTCAAACCTCCCAATAAGTCAAATATACTTCCCTATTAATTCAAATTTCTTTTTTGTCCCCTTCTGGATTCCCTTGGACACAGTTCATTAAAAACCTCCCAAACTTAATGGCTTTTCATCTAAAATCTCCATAATTCAAACTTTTGAGACCTCTTGGCTGTTTTTTTTTTCATTGAAGCAGGAAAGAATAAAGCAATAAAATGGAATTTGATGTTCTTTGGAAGGATTTGACAGACTAGAATTGGGCAAATGAACCCATGTATCCAGTTCAGCATCCCATGAACTCATTTTAGAAGCATTTTAATGCACAGAATGTCACCATGTAAAATGTAAGGCAATTTTTCAAACAGAAAAAATGCTTGATCCCATAAGTAGAACAATAATACTGTATAAATCAAAAGCTCCCCATTTTAAAACCTTGTAGAAACCTAACCTAACATTGTTAAAACCTTGTTGAATTCTTTTTCTGGTCCCTTGAAATTTGACTTGGAGAGGTACAACTGGAATACATTGAAATCTTACATGTTTGAAACTTATGCAACAAATATCTTTGAAATATCTTCCCATGTTGAGTGTTTTTGGTAATTTCCAAAATAATGTTTCAAAATAATGATAAATAATCTTTCTGATCTCAGGTTGTCACCTATGTGTTACGTGTTAACAAACCGTTACGTTACGGAACCTTCAAGTAACAACTGAAGTACTGTTACCGTCCTATACTTGTAGTGTGACTATAAAACGGACTTCTTGACGACCTTCTTCTCGTTTTACATGCTATTTTTAGTAGAAGGGAATGAAGTAACTGGGATGTATTTCATATTTAAAAGGACATCGAAATCTTTCAAATAATTAGCAAACAGTGGAGAGCCATGAAAAGCTCTTGATCTTTTTTGTTTGGTGTGCCTGACAATTATTTTTTTCCCGCAAATTTTTGAAAGACTTTTACAAAATTGAAATTTAAGATGGGGGGAAAATTACATTCGTCCTTCAAACTTTAAATGCACCGATTGTTGAAATATTTTTCGCTGGTTATATTTCTGGTGTTTTGAAGCTCTTGAAAATATTAAAAGTTCAACGATTTTTGAAAAATTTTAACTTTTCGTGGCAAAGTAAAAAGTTTTATGTGTACTGCGTCAAAGTCTAAGGTTTAGCTTGACGAAATAAAACTATTTGGCTTAAACTTTAAAAACGTATTAGCATTTTGTGATATGAACGTTTCTGTTGAATTGAATGAATATGGTTCAGTGACATCTGGAGCATCATAGATGAAGTCAAGCAGTATATGTTCAATAGATGTCGCTTTATATCCGTTCTGCTTTATTGGATTCCTTCCATCCTGGCTTTTCATCTCTGTTTCATTCAACTTGATTCATAAAATGAGAAAGTACAGTATTTGTGAAATACTTAGAAATACAAAACACTCAATACAAGGATGGAAAGTAAAAACTTCAAAGAATTTTGAGCACTGGTTAACAATTTTATTTGCTTTGCTAAACATATAAAATGCATCTTTTGTATTCAATTTTCTCCCATGGTCTATTTGGAAATAATCTGACACAGGTGGAGAAAATGTGTCTGGATATTCTCAGAGGAGATACCCAGATTTAATTGACAAATGAAAAATGAGGGCACCACAGTAATAATAAAGGTGAAATGAGTTTATGACACAATTCAAAAACTAAAGCATGCCTCTTGAACAGAAAAGGGGATTATATCATTCTGATCATGGTCAAACAAATGTTGGTTAACTTGAAATCAGTTTTGTTTGTTGTCTCTGATGTAGTATCCATTCCTTGCAATGTTCATGGGATCTTTTGCATAGTTCCAATTTCTTATTGGCTTGTGCCAATCTGGTCCATATTCTGCCAAAATATACTCATCAGTATTACATGGAATCCTGACCAGAATCCCCAAAAATTCCGTCCAGCACAATTGGAATTTTGGATAAGTATATCTGCAAAAAAATAAAGAAGAATAAATTTTAAATTTTCCTGAAAATTGGGTTATTGTGAAGTCAAACTTGCTTCAACTTGAGGTTCTCATGAAATCCCCCTGTCCAGGGTGAGGATGTGCGATCATAAAAGAAAAAGACGTCTAGTCGTGTTTCTTGTAAATTGAATTTCAGTTCATAAGAATCGTTCATGTGACCCAGTTCATCATATTTTGTGAAACCTGCTTTCAGCATTTCATTTTGAAAATGTGACTTGTTGTCCTCTATGAATATTCCAATATCCACATCACTTGTGAATGGAATCACTCCACAGTGTCTGTAGAAGCCTGCATGTGACTTTTTTTAACTACTCATAAATAATATTTTTAAGAACTTCTTTAACTTTGAACGGATTTTCACAAGGTGAACAATCGGTTTTAACTTAAAAGTTGACGAGTTTTCGTTAAAAACAAACAACATTTTGCTTCTTGACAGTTTCTGGTGAGACACTTCCTTTGTAGAATCTTTTGAGGGTTGTTGGATATGTTTTGCTGAAATTTAGCGCATTGGTTGTGATGCATGGTCTAAATTTGGGTGTCCAAAAGTCATGCCAGATGTCACTTGGTGATTTGCTGTTGGGCATTCAAATTCAATTTAAAATCTCAGGGATGTGAAAAAATTTTATAATTACTGTATATATTTTTAAAATTAATATTTCAGGAGTGACTCATCCTTTTTCCCCTGGAAAAATCTTATCCTATTCATTTAATTGTTCTTACCTTTATATGCAGCAATCCATCATGTAAATTTTGAATGGAATTTTTTTCATTGATTGATTTATTGTTATCTTAAATTGTTGGAGGAAATAAATCTTGATACTTTGATCAATAACCATCAGATTTACTTTGACCAAGACCATAAATGGATCCAACTCAATTCAATTAACTCTATAGGGTTCATATAAAGATTCATATTATTCAATTATTAGACTCAATCATTTTTTGCCTCCTCTTGGAAAAGTAAGAAGTATTTAAATGGAATATTCATCAAGTCAGTCTATTATTCTTCCACCAATACAGTCAAGCCCATACAAGGGACCTAATAAGTTCAACAGGCTAGTCTGTTGTGTGAAAAGTCTGTTATGCAAATTCAATTAACAATAATTTAAATATTTAATTTTTACCATTAATTTTAAACCAAAGGCAAACATTGAGAAGGTTTTCCAGGTAGCAACAGAATGTTCAGAATAACACCAAGGCATAAATGATTGAGTGAACTCAGAAGTGCTTTTTATGTGGTATAGTCATAATCAGCAATTTGAATGCATCATACCTAACCTTTAAGAGAACAACCTTCATGCCATCAAATGTCTATATGGGTTCACACATTATCCAAACTCACCTATTGAAAATTGTGTCTTTTTTCAATTTTTCAATATCAGCAATTTGAATGCATCATACCTAACCTTTAAGAGAACAACCTTCATGCCATCAAATGTCTTTATGGGTTCACACATTATCCAAACTCACCTATTGAAAATTGTGTCTTTTTTCAATTTTTCAACAAAGTCAAAGCCTCCTGCTTGACTAATCATAAGTCTTTACGGAAGAAAATGTTGTAAGAGGGTTGGTCCGTGGGTTTATATTGGTCGTCAACTAGAAAAGTGTGGTTTATATTAGTCTTCATTTAATATAAACCTGACATACCAGTTCACTGACTATGCTGGGGAAGTGAACCAAGAAACTGCTATTCTGCTGTTGGGAACTTCCTTGTGATTCCATATTTTCATATTGTGATGACATAATCCAGCCCAGGTTTTCACTGTTGCTAATATCATCTGAGAAAATATCAGCAGTTGAAGTCAAGCTCAGTTTGAATATAAATTCCAGAGATTTTCAAATTTACCTCAGTTTCACCTGAAAAAATATGAATGCTTAGATTTTTATAATCCACAAGCTTCACAAAATCAGGCAATGAGTCAAATTCAGGTACTTGTGAGCAATTATTCAAATACAGACTATTTTGATTCACAATGAAGTATTTGAAGGTCCACAAGATATTTAAATGCATCACAAGTATAAACACAAAACAGCAGCTTTTCTTCCAACACCTGCTGAGCATGCTGATGACTGAAAAGAAGAAGTCAGCTGAGGACATATTTCGCCAAATGGCATGGAGAAAAAAAATTCGCCCCAAAGTGGATCAGTGTGGACATTGGAAAGGTTGATTGTGCTGAATGAGAGCCAGTCAAGTGTGATGTGACAATTTTCCTGAGTGGCATCAGTATCTCATTCACCAGAAATATATGCCCTTCCCATTCCTCATCTGTGGCTTCAAACATTGGTTTAATGTGCTCATTTTGTGAAAGTTTAGAGTTCTTGGATGTTATTCTGGATATCAAAGCGAATTTTAGCACTTCCTGGGGTAGATTTCATTGTTCTGATGATTGTGCTGTATCAGGGAAATGCATGGAAAACATGATCTTTTTTTTTACCTTGCCTATGATGGCTCTATATACAATGACCTTGGGATGTTTCTATGATCATTTTGTGATGGAAAGTGTCTGACAAAAGAGAAATATATTTATTCATTGCTATATTTGACACACCAAAATGTCATGATAAATGCTGGCATTATGTCAGTGTATAACTGGATTGTAATTTCTGAATAAGTGACTTTACTTTATATGAAATGTTGATGAATACTCAATACATCTTGTGTTTCAAGGACGATTTACTTACTTTGGCTGCGTGGAAGAAATATATATTGACTGTTTTGAATTGGAGACTTATAATTGAAATATTTGGGCATATTAAACAGTGCGCAGCCTGCATGTCAGGTTTACAGATCCATCATATTCACTTCAGCATGAGATAGAAAATATGTGACACCCTCACTTTCTGGATTTAAATCATTACGAAAAATAATTTTCAAGGATTTTTGTATTGAACATGCTCAATACTCCATTTGACTCATAGTTGAAAAACACTGCAATCCACAATTGTTCAGGGATGAATTGACATCAATAGCCTGTTTTTCAGATGCATAATGCACGCACTCTCTGGAGGAAAATCATAGGTAAAAATTGTTTTTGAGGGTTTTGGTCTTACTAATTGAGCATGTAGGAAACCCCCTTATAGACGCAATGTTAGAAACTGCAATCCACGTTTTTTAAACCAAAATTGGTGTCCCATACTTATGTGATGGTGGCAAATGTTGACATCGGCGTCTTGGGCTCTGTGTAGTTGAATCGATGACGTTGTATTTTTTTAGACGTGGACAAGCCGGATCATGGCGGCGTTCTTAGGTGGATTGTTTGCTCAGCTTGCATGTCAACTTCTGGGAAATTCTAGATTTGGGCGTGGAGCTTTTCTTGTTAAATTCATGTGGGGCTGAATTGACCATCGAAGTTTATCTATTTACAGTTTCACGTGCTGTTGATTTATTTCCAGATGTGTAACAAATCACGTTCCCATGCCTCCGAAAGAAATGTGTTCAGATTCGAATCGGAAGTTCCTGCACTTGGAATTTTAATTTGGAGAGTATTACCGGGTAAGAGTTTGACCCAGTTTAATGAATTTTCGAATTGTTGGATGAAGTCAAGTGCCTCTGTGTACAAGGTTGTGTCGGAACTGGCGGAGTGAAGATTCCATGTGGTATTGTTCATTGTCGGAATGCATGTTGTTTTTCGCCGCATTAACCACGAGAGCATTCCTGCGTGTGTGCGTGCCCTTTCTGTGATCATGAACTTGCACTACTAAGCCATTGAATGTGTGCATGACTTGAATGCGAATTGTTTTCCTCCACAGACCATGTGTAATCCCGAAACGTGTGTGCCTGGAACGAACTCATAATGTTGTTTTAGTGTTTAACAAAGCGGGGCTTTTCTCGGGCCCCTTTCGCTTGTGATTTGTTGAATCTCGCGTGAACATCCGTACTCCCGTGATGGCCGCTACAGATCTTCACTTGGTCCAGAATTATTCCCTCAGTCAAAGCGATGGCGGGAACCGTCGAAGCGATGTCGAGTTGGACGGTGCCATCGATGCCAGAGGTAACCTCTTCTGAATTTAGGCTTGAAATGGGAGCCAAATGTCTAAATATTGCGCGTGTTGGATTCAATTTATTCCTAATCTTCGGATGCATTAATCTGAAGCTCTCCGTTAATTTTTTGGTCAAAATTCGTCCTTTACGTAGCCCACATGCCACTCGCATTGCTTCAACATTGCCCGTCGAACGTACATGAAGACCAGATGCGGATGGACGTCGTGGATTACTCATCGAACGCGCAGCAAGTGGACGACGACTGCGGCGGTGGTGGCGGCGGTGGCGATGAAGACTCTCCGGCGCAGCTCTGCCACGATCCGCCTTCCATAGCATCTTCCTCGTCCTCTGGCCACATGCATATGCCCATGTCGATCAAAGTCGAACGCGACGGCAGCCCTAATCCCGAAGTACGGTAGAACAGTGATGTTGAATAGTTGGTGAATTATTCAAGAAACACAAATGGATGCCGCCAAGGACGTTCCGTCCGCCGTTCTTAGCGACATCTACATGGACGTAGTTTTGAGCTTGGGTCCCCCCAACTAGGATAGCTCCGAAAGTTCCTGCACTTGGAATTTTAATTTGGAGAGTATTACCGGGTAAGAGTTTGACCCAGTTTAATGAATTTTCGAATTGTTAGATGAAGTCAAGTGCCTCTGTGTACAAGGTTGTGTCGGAACTGGCGGAGTGAAGATTCCATGTGGTATTGTTCATTGTCGGAATGCATGTTGTCTTTCGCCGCATTAACCACGAGAGCATTCCTGCGTGAAGAAGACCGAGTGCGTGCCCTTTCTGTGATCATGAACTTGCACTACTAAGCCATTGAACGTGTGCATGACTTGATTGCGAATTGTTTTCCTCCACAGACCATGTGTAATCCTGAAACGTGTGTGCCTGGAACGAACTCATAATGTTGTTTTAGTGTTTTACAAAGCGGGGCTTTTCTCGGGCCCCTTTCGCTTGTGATTTGTTGAATCTCGCGTGAACATCCGTACTCCCGTGATGGCCGCTACAGATCTTCACTTGGTCCAGAATTATTCCCTCAGTCAAAGCGATGGCGGGAACCGTCGAAGCGATGTCGAGTTGGACGGTGCCATCGATGCCAGAGGTAACCTCGTCTGAATTTGGGCTTGAAATGGAAGCTAAATGTTTGAATATTGCGTGTGTTGGATTTTATTTATTCCTAATCTTCGAATGCATTAATCTGGAGCTCTCCGTTAATTTTTTTGGTCAAAATTCTTCGTTTACGTAGCCCACATGCCGCTTGCATTGCTTCAACATTGCCCGTCGAACGTACATGAAGACCAGATGCGAATGGACGTCGTGGATTACTCATCGAACGCGCAGCAAGTGGACGACGACTGCGGCGGTGGTGGCGGCGGCGGCGGCGATGAAGACTCTCCGGCGCAGCTCTGCCACGATCCGCCTTCCATAGCATCTTCCTCGTCCTCTGGCCACATGCATATGCCCATGTCGATCAAAGTCGAACGCGACGGCAGCCCTAATCCCGAAGAAGACGCCCGCAGAGGCTTATCCGCCTTCTGCGAAGCCCTCTACTCTGGTGGCCCGCCGCAAGGATTCGTCGTCAACAACGTTGCGCAACTCGGGCCCGATGCCAAGCCCATGCTCGCCATCATGGCCCAGCAACAACAACAACATCACCACCAGCAGCAGCATCAGATGTTTCCGGGCGCCGGTGGCGGCGGCGGTGTAGTCGTGAAGAAGCGAAGGAAGCGGCGGAAGTTGAAGCCGAACGGGGAACTCGGGCCTGGAGAAGAGCACTTTCCGTACAGGTGTGACGTGTGCGAGAAAGGGCTGAGGTCCTTGGCGGCGCTCAAGTACCACGAGCGGATCCACTCGGGTGAGACGCCGTTTGAGTGCCGTTTTTGCGGGCGCAAGTTCGCTGTCACGTCGCATCTCAACTATCATATTCGAGTGCATACAGGTGATTGCGAGTGTCAGTGATTCTCTACTCACTCGGTTCTCTTTCTCCCTGCGTCTTCCCTCCCCTCGAAAATTATGTTCATCTTTGTATCAGAAGCATTATACACACACACGCAAACGAAGGATGCTCTACAAGCTTTGAGACATTCGAAAAAGACGCTTAAAAACGAATCTGTTCGCGCAGAATTAGAAAAAATTGATCGTTCAAGCGACAGCTTCTGTGTCAGAGAAGGAATTTGTTCGTGCTCCTCATTTTCTGCATCGCTGAACTCTGAATTGTTTTTTGTTGTTGTTTTTTTAAAGATTGTACCTGTATCAGTCCTGAGCGCTTGAATCACCCACGAATTTGCTCGCCGAGTCTCGAAACTTGTTGATCATCCCTCTTATTCACGCGGAAATGAGATGCAGGGGTTTTTGGCGGATAAAAATTTTAGTGCGTTATCGATTCCCGTGCGAAATGTTGGTGAATGTCGTGGTGCCAAGATTCTAGGGGTCAATGAGTTATCGACTCGGTGGATAAATTTCTTCACGCCTCTGTGAATGATGTAGGAGTAATCACGCCGTTGTCAGTTGCAACTTGGAATCTACAGCTTGATGTTGTGAATATGAAATTTGCGATGGTAATGATAACTGTGTGAATGTTCCTCCGCGATGTTTTCTTGGCCCTTTGTGTCTGACGCCATCGGAGGACGGGTATGGTGGAGAGAACCGTGAGATGGGATGTTGCGAACGGAAGAAAAAGTAGAAGTGATCGCGAATCGAATGTATTCTTGTGTCGCAGATATTTGACGCTGGTTTCGTTTTCTTTTTGTGTTTTTGTCAAAAACAAAAAAGGAGAGAAGCCGTATGAATGCGGGACGTGCGGGCGGAGGTTTGCAGTGTCGAACCATTTGCGGTACCACGAGCGGGCGCATACTGGTGAGAAGCCGTTCCGTTGTTCAGTCTGCGCCAAGGGCTTCACCTCCAACTTCAACCTCAAGTACCACGAGCAGATCCACGCTGGCATCAAGCCTCACTCTTGCGACTTTTGCGGCAAGAAGTACCGCTCCAAGGCTGGTCTCACTGGACATGTGAGTGCTTTAGTACTGTACCGTACTGCGCTGGTCTTCATATAGACTTTGGGAAACTTCTCTTATTTCGAAGATTGTGTGAAACGGGTAAAAATTTTGACTGAGACGCGCACCCCGCTTTTAGTGACTCTAAATCTGCAATATTTCAAAAATAAGAACACCCAAATTTGTATTTAGGCATGAATTCGAGTAATTTTCAATCGTTTTCATTAAACACAAGTTATAATGCGCAACTGAACGTGTGAAACTTTTTGGAAAGTGTATACAGTACCCGCTTTTCTCTTGGATTCGAGAAGAAAGGTGCGGGTGGTACTAAAGTAAACCTTGTACGGTACACGTAGTTGCTTACGTGATGTTCAATGGGCTTCAATGCCTCAACTCGATGATTTTTGTATTTTTGTCGCATAGATGTCGCGTTACATTTCATTTAGTATGATATAGATTGGGTTGCCTTTGGTGAATTGTGTTGAAGTACTGACGAGTTGACGTACTTGTTCTGTGGTGTTGAAAGACAAACTGTGTCATTGCGTGGAATTGTTATCCAGTCACCTGAATCTGATCACGTTTCATTTATTTTGATAGTACTTCGTTTGAATTACTTTTACACTGTGTTTTTAAAGTTGCGTTCTATATTATTTTCAGTAGTGTGTTGTGCGTAACTCTGATTTTGGTTTGCAATTTTGAGGGAGCTGACTGTCGGCGATCGATATTCATGATGCAAAAACTTTTGAAATTCTTCTTTCTGTCTAATCAAGCGATATCTTTTCGTCTTCCTGGCCGATTGAATCGAACTTCCGGGGACCAGCAATAAAATTAGACATGGGAATGGAAATAAATCGAAAGAAATAGAAGAAACTAAAATATGTGATTTTTTGGCCTTGAGCGATAGAATAAAAAAATTGATTGGATGTTGAACTTCGAAACAAGAGTTCATTTGCCCAATTATTCTGCGACTTACATCTAAAACACGTCATGTTAAAAAAAAGCGATAGTAGAAATGCCTCTAGAAAATTCGAGTTCCAACGCATTGGTTCTAACGGAAGTCAGACAGGAATTCGAAAATAAAATTTGATACCGGGAGGTTTGAGTTATCAAGGTTCACCTGTATTTTCAACGTGCTGGTTTCTGATGAGTGTTTCTTGTTTTTACAGCAAATGAAGAAGGGCCATCATGAAAGGTTCCAGAGTATGATGAGGGACGGGTATTTCCTGGATGGACACGGTCCATCATTCAGTAATGGCGAAATGAAGTCGGATCAGGATCCCTCGGCTTCGTCAGCTCCATCACCCGCATCTGCTGGAGAAGGTCCTTCGGGGCTTCAGTCACAGGTATGTTAATTCGAAAATACTCTGCCCGCAAAGTAAATTTCAAGTTTAATTTCATTATTATTTTTTGAATAGGGTGGGAAAGCGACGCCGAAGAGACGAGGCCCGGGACGACCGCCGACGCTGATGTCTGCCACCCGTCAAATGAACATGTTTGGGCCAGTGAACCTGAAAAACGACGGACAAATGAGCAACAACAACAACAACAACAACTGAACCCGGAGTTGCCGCCGTCTTCGTCGTCCTCATCCTCGTCGTCTTCTGTTGTTCCTGGCCGTGGCCCGCCGTTGAGCCGCGGGCCGCCCATGGACATGTTTGGGCCAGTGAACCTCAAGAATGATGGCCTTTTGAACGAGGTGCATCATTTGCATAATGCCCCCGGGCTGCAACCAACGCCACAACCTCCGCCGGCGTCCTCCACTCCTGCTTCCACCTCGTCTTCGTCATCATCGTCGGAGATTGTTTCAAGAAGCAACGGGGATAATGTTGGAGGGAAAGAGGATGATGACATTGGTGTCGGCGGAGGTGGTGGTGGGGGGCCAGGAGGAATCGGGGGCGTTGGAGGATACATGCCGTCTCCATCGCCCATGTATCCCATGATGAACATACGATCTGCTGCGCCCATGTTCGCACCTCCACCACAGCCAGGTGCGTTCTTCTTGAAATTATTATCGAAAAATGGATCTGTATTTATTTATTTATTTGTGTGCGTGTCTGCGGGAAAGGTCGAAAGAAATGCGGAGAAAATCATGTGTAGTAATTTTTCACAACTTTTCCATGTCTATGATCTTCATTTGTTTGAATATTGAAGAATATGGAATTATTTTGGCGGAAAATGGTTTGATGTTTGTAATTTTCAATCACTTGAGTTCAAATTGAGAATCGAATGAGTAAAATTATTTAGGGACTGACTTCATTCGCCAAACTTTCAAGTGGCATGAATTTAACGACTGTGCTGATTTTTAAAAAGGTTTTAAAATATTTTTGTCACGATTTCACCTGGGATGAAAACAATTTTCATGTGAAGAAACGGGAAAGTGTCGGGTTATTGGGAACCTTTGGAATACTGTATCTCTGAAATGTCAATGGTGGAAATTGAGAATATTTTCAGAAACATAAACTGAGGTCTGCTGGAAGGCTCTAGATTGATTTGAAGAATTTTTGGCATTTAATTGGATCGCTGAATGAACTGGGTATGAATTCATTGACAAAACTTATGAATAATTTCTTGTCTTTGGCAAATGTTCAGCATTTGACTGTTGCCACATTTCTTCGAAAAATCTCTGCAAAAGCGTTGATTCGTTACTTGGAAAATGTTTTCATGTGACGGCTGTGAGGGTTGGCAGTATTTAAATGTTCTCGTTTTTTTCTTTCTGATGATTCGGCAGGTTTTTTGTCGTACCCGGCACAACAAGCATATCAAGTGCAGTTCGAGCAGCAGCAGCGGTTCTTCATGGGCCGTTCGCCAGTGCCGTCACCGGGCCACCTGGGCGGGGGCCACCACCACCCCTTGACGCACCATCCGCTACACCACCACCATCAACCACCGTTGCACCAGCACCACCAACTGCAGTATGCAGACAGGAAGCCGGACGAGCCGCAGTGATTTGTGATTTTTTCCTTTCCTTTTTTGGTGTCGCGAGAGAGAAAGTGTGCGTGATGGTGAGTTGAGCCAACAACCAAGAAGAGGAAGAAGAAGAAAAACCATGGGGTCGGTTTTTGAAGCCTTAGTATTCAAAAGACGTTGTGTGTTTGTCCGAGCTTCCAGCAAGTCTGCCACCAGGTTTGTTGAAGCTTAAGTCTTGATCCATGCATAAGTTATGCGGAAAAAAGAGGAAACGTCCATTTAAGTCTCGTGGCATCAACAACAACAAATTTAAGACGTGATTTTTTGTTTTTATTTTGCATAAAACGGTTTGGCATTAGGGTTGCGTTTATTTTTCATTTTTTTCTCCTCTTCTGTGGCTAGTGTTTTCCCTCGACTTGCTCTTTTTTGGATCATGGAGAGTGAATCTGTTTTTGAGGAAACAAAAACTAGGGAACAAGTTTCACAGGGAAATTATTTTTTTTCGTTCTAATATTTCCGGAAAGGCTAATTGATGCTTTTTTGCCCGTTTTGTTCAAGTTTGGAAAGTGAGCAATTGATGTGAGACTTCATTTGAATTTTTTTTTTTCACCGAAGCTGACATTGTCGTAGGATTTCGTTTGAAGTAGTCGCTCTTGTGGAGTGACGGTGTGTCCCAGAAAGAGCAACGTTAGATATGGTTCGCTGTGTAGTACGAGACTGACGTCAAGAGAATTAAATGAATACATAAACGAAAGAAAAAAAGCTGAGTGCAGTGGAGGGTGTGTGGCAGAAGAGAAACGCAAAATGTTTGTAGAAAAGAGAGGAAAAAACAATTGTGGACGTGGTGATACATTTTGCGCCGGATTTTGATTTTTGTTGTTGCTGCTGCTGGGGAAGCGTGTGTAAATGGAGGATGCCATGTTAATGCCCCCCCCCCCCCTTTCTTCACACCCCACACACACTCATCTGCAGTATTTGACCATTTGTGCATATTTCGAGGGACTGCAGTTCCACCAGAATGTATGCCTTTTTTTCTGTTTCGTGTTTTGTGCAAGGTTTCAAAAGAAAGAGGGTTTTTTGTTGGAATCTCTTTTGATGGTCTAGTAATGTGTTTTTTTTTTTTGTGTCCTCCCCCCCCTCTGTTGATTTGAGGGTCTTGGGGCGAAATGAGAGAAGGGGAAAGAATAAAAGTCTTCTCTACTGATGTTTTTCATGTGGATTCACGGCAGTTGGTTCATGAAGGACTTGTTCATCTTGTGATTTCCTCTGGATTAATGAGGTCAATTTATATTTGATCATTTTTTTATGATTAATGTAAGTGTGCTTGTTACTCAGGAAAAGCGTATTGTTTGAGTTTTTTAGATTAATTTGAAAGCAGTCTTAAGTTCTGCCAAATAGTTGAAACGCTTTAAGAAATATTGGTGACCATGTCCCAGTTTTAATGTTGTTGAATGTTTGAGTACGTACTGTATTTGTGGTAAGGACAAATTCTCGAGTCAATTTTTCTTGAACAACTTGAAATTCGTTTTTCTGTGGACTTCTGACTCATGAAGTTGTCTAAACAATTACATTGAATTCACAAATCTGGAGAGACATCATGAACCATCCATTTTTTATTGTTTCTGAAGAAGACTCGAGTGTGGTTCAGACATGGTGTTTAAAAAAAAACATTTTGTAACATATTATGACTTGTTTGTCATGTGTGTTGTTGAACCAGTGCAAGCTTCTCTTTATTGAATGCAGCTTGAGTCTTTTGTTTGTGCTATTGAAAAGGAGTTTCAGTGTGCTGTTTTTTTCTTTCTTTTTTTTTGCTCTGTGCAGATGTCAAAAGCTTTTTCCAAAGTTAAAGCTGCAAAAGCAGTGGTTTCTAAAGTGCGCCATGGAAGATGGTACAAGACTGAAATCCCTGCTGGATTAGCTGGTGCTGGGCCTCCTTTAGGACCTCTTTTGGGATCTGTGAGTATTCTTTCTTTAGAATCTTGGGATCAAATAAAATGAGTTATTCATTTTATTTCCTCTCTTTTTGTGTGTGTTTGTATAGAGAGGCGTGAATGTTCAGCAGTTCTGTAAGGACTTCAATGAGAGGACCAAGGATATGAAAGAAGGCTTGCCTTTACAAGTTCACATCGCCTTCAATCCAGACAAGACCTATGATATGAGACTTTTGATGCCCTGCACTTCTTACTTTGTGAAACAGGCTGCTGGGGCCACTAGGGGATCTTATACAGTTGGTGAGTTGTGATTTTCACTGTGGAAAATCATGCTTTTGACTTTGCAAGTGATTCATCGTTAGCGAAAAAATATGAGGAATATTTTTGTCTTGACTACTGTATGTGTCTGGAGAATATTGAATCTCTCAGATCATGAAACAGAAATTGCTTTGTGTTTTTAAAATTCTAGGGTTTGTCTGTACAAAATCAGGACCAATGAGTTCATTTTTATGAATGGACTGGCTTACCATGTTTACTAAGTACCACATACCCTCTTCAAGTAAAACATGATTTTGTTTAGGAAGAATGGATGAAATTTTATCGGTGCAAAAGGCACAGAGCACAATTTTGTTGATCAATATATTTTAACATTGAATTTGCAGTGAAATTACAAATGTTCAGTGAAATTAAAGTTGGGAAGTGTTAACTGTATTAACTTGAGTACTAGCACCCTTGATTAAGATGCCCACCAGGGGTTTTCAGTCAAAAATTGTGCTCAAATTTTATCCCTGAACAAGACACTGCATCTCATTTTGATGACTCTGAAACAGCGTTTCTATATTTAGAAAATTATAACAAGGGAATTTGTATTTGGACATGGATTGAGCCTGAATTCAGGTAATTTTCAATTGTGTCTATGAAAATGAATTTTTCTGTTTATCTTGGTCCAAATTTTTCCATTAGAAGTATGATGAACTCGTAAAATAAATAATAATTCCACCCCTTGGACATGCACTCTCTTTTTCCCTTTGAATTTGAGGAAAAATGTGTACATTGTGCATGAGTAAATATGGTAAAGTATGTAGCTTCCTGAAAAAGAATCAATGAAGTAATGCACACAGTTCTCAAAAATTATACCTATATAGGATGTGAACCCCATTTTTATGTAGATTTCCAGAAGAAATGTGCTTATGGTATACTTTTGTGAATATGGTAACCCATGATGAAGTTTAGTTCTCAAATGCATTTTTCAAATTCCTTCTGCTTGGAGTACCGGTATTCTGTATTTTTTAATGAATTTTATGCACGATTATTGCATTCTTTTTGCTTTTGACGTTTGTAAAAAGAAACTTGGTTTAATTATTTTTTTCGATTTGAAATTTTGGTGTTCCTATTCGCAGGGAAGGATGTAGCTGGGAAGATCACCTTGAGGCACGTGTATGAGATTGCCCAGCTGAAATCGCAAGACATCACGTTGCAGATGATGTCGATGGAAGAAATTTGCAAGTGTGTCGTGAAAACTGCCAAAAGCTGTGGAGTGGAGGTGGTTGAAGGAGATATAGACCCTGTGGAATACGAAGGATTCCTCAAAAACAGGGCCCTGGAGATCGAGGCCAAGATTGCCGAGTTGAAGGAACTGAGGGAGACCAAAGTTTTGCGGACTTGACCCGCCCGCTTTGAATTTTTGTGCAATTTTGCAATTTAGTGTTCAAAGAAACGAAAAAAGGTTCGTTTCCTGTCAAACCGTGATGACGATTTGTGGAATTTATTGTCTCATTCTTTTCGGATTGTGCCTTATTGCGAATGACAGGGGATTTTTTTTTTTTAATTTTTTCCAGATAAGAAGAGATGAACCCTCTTGGCAGAAAATTTGCGAGTGCCAGAAGGTTGTTTTTGTGGCCGCTGCTGGTTGCGTGTGGTGTTTTATTCTACTGCGAGTTTCTGCACTACTTCTTTGTTCTCTACCAGGTATGGAAACCTTTTTTTTCTCATCACCAAGTGCCATTCTGGTTTCGAAACTCAATTTATGTAAATGTATATGTCATCTGATCCCGATGAGGAAAAATCATTTTTAAAAGTAATTTATCTCACTTCGTAACATGGAAATTCGTGTTTTTTTGTTGTTGAAATTTTTCTATGCATGAAATTGTGTGGAAATGTTCCAAGTTTTTTTTTTGTTTGAACTGGAAATAGAGGGTCGAAAGAATATTTGTGATTAGTCCAAAGAAATTCATTGGTGAATTTTTACGGTGGTACCTTGTACAAATAAACATGATTTGTTGAAGCATTACGTTTGTTGTACAATTTTTTCTTTCGAATTATGTTCGTGAAAAACAAATTTTCTCATTTGTATAAGGAACAAAGTTGTTATTTAACAGGTGGACTACAAAAAGTTGAAAAGACCAGAAAAAAATTCATTGTGAAGAGCCCATTCAACATGGTATGCAGAGAAAATAACTTGTGAGGGAGTCCACTTTCTTTTTTCAGTAAAAGGCTTGCCAAATGTTTGTTCTATGGAATATTGAACTTTTCAGTATAAAAAGCCTTCCCTCAAGTCCAGGAGCAGAAAGTTCGGAGTACATTTTTCAGTCTCATTATAGCAAATTCAAATTTAACAAACTTTTTTGAGAGTTGTTGAAGGTATTCTCCAAGTAGGAATTTCCTGTAAAAGCCAGCCGTAGTCTGAAATTTCCAATCCCAAATGCAACTGACTGTTTCTTGTAATGTGATTGAAACCTGTGATCAATGACAAACGTGATTCCAATTGGTTCCACACAATAGCCTCCCAGAGTGACAAGATTCTCACATCATCCTCTCAGAATGAAGAACTTGGTTTGACTGATGGAATGCATTTTTCAAGCTTAATTTTTTCAGAAGATAACTTGGTGTATTTTTAAATACAGTAATTGAATGTCTGAGGATGCCAAAAAAGCTGGATATAATTTATCATAGGTCTGATGTGAAAAAGGTTTCTAGTCATTAATTTTGAAAATCTCATTTTTTTAATGATACAGTACTGCATAATGAACTTTTTCTGAAGTACTGCACCAAAAAGATTGTTGTAATGAAATTCTATTGTACAATGTTCCCCTGCATAGAAACGTGCTGCTTCAATGTGATGAATGGCTTGTTTTTTTATTGCAATTTTGACCTGTCTTTTGAGTATGCGGTTAAATTTGTCTTTTTTCTTCTCTTTTTTTCAGTGTTCATGGCCCCAAGAGGCGGATCAAACTGGGCTGAAGGTGCTGGTGTTTTCTGATACCCACTTGCTGGGCTCCAGAGAGGGCCATTGGTTTGACAAATTGCGCAGGGAATGGCAAATGCGCAGGGCTTATCACACTGCTTTAACTCTGTTCAAGCCCGAGTTGGTGCTGCACATTGGCGATGCTTTTGACGAGGGCTTGTGGTGCTCTGACGAGGAATTCAAGTACCACGTCGACCGGTTCAATTCCATGTTTCCTCGTGAGTTATTGCGGAATTCAATAAAAATTTCATTAATAATATAACTTGATGTATTTTTATGATTTTCAGCCCCTGCGGGTCCAGAGAGCAGAATTGTAGCCGTTGGCAACCATGACATTGGATCCGGATTCGGAAGAACGTCACGCAATAAGAAGCGGTTTGAGGAGGCATTTGGCGAAGGCCCGGTTCGCAGTGTGATTTTTGGCAAGACTCGATTTGTGATTGTGGATTCCATGACACTGGATGAGACTGGTGCTGGAGCAGAGTTGTTGCAGCGCATTGCGAGTAACTCAGTGGTGGAACCCGATGTTGGGAGGCCGGTGTTGGTGACTCACTACCCACTGTTCAGGAAGTCGGATGAGGCGTGTGATGAGCCTGATGGTGCCACTGAACTGGCCAAGCGGATGCAGTTCGTTGAGGGTGTCCAGGCGCTGAAAGTTGCCACATCAAATATGGTATGTCTGCTGTCTTGTAGTGGAGAGTGTTTCCCAAGTAACCTGTGGTCTGCAGACCAGCACCAAGTTTGCAGGACATTTTCTTCTTTCAGCTTGATAAATTTATCAAAAGTAGCAGTGATGTCTGTGAACTTTATCTGAAATTTTGGAAAGTCAATCCCAGTTGAAATTATCTGATGGAAAAATTCAAGGTGGCTTTTCTCCTAATAATACTTGAGACAGATTTTCACCTACCATAATCAGTTATTTTTTATTTTGGGAAACCTTTCTTCAAGCCCACCTTTCCAATTTTTAAAGGCATTTCACTGCAGCTGCTTCATTGGTTCTTGAGATATGCAAAAAATATCTGCTTTAAAGTTTTTTCAGTCAGCAAAGATTGTATAAAACTTTGCCAGTCTGCAGGCTCAAAAAGTTTGGGAAACACTGATCTAGTGTATTGACTTGAGTACCAGGAATCCTTGAGTAAGATGTGCACCAGGGAATTTCAGTTGAAAAATCTTTTTAAATTTCATCTACAAGTAAATTTTGACACACCCCATTTTTAGAGATTCTAAAACTGCAATATTTCAAAGATAAGAAATGGGAAATGTGAATTTAAACATGAATTGAACCCAAATTGAACAAATTTTCAATTTTTTCCAACTAAGTTCTTCTATTGAAGTTGGTTTGAAATGTCCAATTAAGTGTAATGCATGCCTGAACTTCTGGTACTTTTTGATAAACGTATGTAGTACAGTACTTGTTTATGATGTGCACCCCTTTGTCTGTTTCCTTGTTAATTCAAGAAGAAAAGGAGTTCATGGTACTCAAGTAAATGCAGCTGTCTATAATATCTATTGGATTGTTTATGAAAACGATATTTTTTTTATCTCATGAGCAGTTGCTGAATGTGCTGCAACCAAGACTGGCCTTCAGTGGACATTCTCACAGTGGCTGTCGCACTTACCATCCTCGCTCTGAAACTGAGGAATGGACACTGTCAAGTTTCAGCTGGAGGAACAGGAATAATCCTAGCTTTTCCTTAGTGAGTCACTCTGTCAGAAATTGGTTTCACATATGATGTGGTTACAAAGGGGTTTTCTCTCTCTCTCTCTCTACTATCAGTTGTGGATAACTGCGGATAAACACGCTCTGGAAAAGTGTTATTTGCCGGAAGAATCGTCTGTGATTCAACTCTACATGATTGGAGCTGTGGGGATTCTGTGTGCCTTGGCCTACTCGGTGCTGTTTCCTGTGAAGGCGGTGAAGCTGAACTGAATTGGTTCAGGTTAGTTGGATTATTAGTAAAAAGTAATAGTAATTGCGGGAAATGAACATTCTTATAATTGCTTGCTCACATCACCAACATTCACCACATTCAAAATTTTGGGAATTCAACATGATGATATTGCCGTATTTAAAAACACTTTCCCTGTCTCAATTCAAATTGCATTTCAAAGAAGCTTTTACTTAAAACCGGGTACACGTAAAATTTGGAATGTAACTTCTGGTTTTGTGGTGGCAGCACTTGGAGGAAAACCTCCCATTTTGGTCTTCATAACCTGGTGATTCGTTTAAAAAATAAAACCCCTCGCAGGAAAAAACATTTTCACACTGGGTCAAGTTCTTACCTGGCGAACGGAAAATTGTAAGAGAAGGTAAGGTTTTGACTTGACCCAGTGTGAAACATGGTTAGTAGACTTCATCACAGTCCCGGTCCTCTTCCATTGAAAATGCACAGTTGTCAAAAAAATCAGTCAGTCATTCTCAAGTCATATCCTTTGCTCAGCTCTGGAAGGGCAGAAGAAATCACTTTTTGATGCAGTTTCGTTGTCGCAGTTCAGAACTTGAATTCAAGCGTCCCATAAATTCTCCCATTCAGAATCTGAAAATTAAAACAAAGTTATTATCTCGTCATAGTCATAATAAACTTGTAGAGCTATCCATGTGTAGAAAAATATAAATGTACATTATTTAAAAATTGTATTTATTCAAAAATAATACATTTTTAAAGGTTGTTGCTTTTCTTGGATGAGTGAATAAAAATTTGTTCTTTTTTTTTCAGCGGGGTGGGGTGGGGTGGGATGGGATGGAATTGTTTCGGGTGGGAAACAGTGAGCCAAACAAATGGTGCCGGATGTCGGACGCCATTTATATGGCCGCTTCCATGTGCCAAATTGTGCCTGACTGTGGGTCTACCATCCTCTTGAATGGGTGGGTTAGAGACCAATACGGAAATGATTTTAATGTAAATTTTCAAAAAACAGTGACAATTTATTCATCTCGCAAGGGACATTCAATTTGATGAAGGAGGATGGTAGACTTCGGTTTGGCATAATTTGGCACGTTCCGACATTCGGCTCCATTTGTTTGGCTCACTGGAATGAAAAAGAATATGATATTTCCTTACAATTTAACTTAAGTTTGTATAATAATTTTGTATTAATAAAATTTAATGTTTCAAATAATAATACAATATGATACAAACATAACATTAGTAACATATTAACCAATTGAAATAATACATAATTAAAATTTTACTATTATTATTTGTTCAATATCCATAATACAATAACTATTATTAATTGTTGTGATGATATACATATTTAAAACAATATAAATGAAATATTATATAAAGAGCCATAATTACATAACAGTAAGCTCTTTATGTAATATTTCAAAGAGCTTACTGTTATGTAATTATGGTTTTATAAGATTTATGAAAATATTATATATATTGTTATTTTATTCCAGTGAGCCAAACAAATGGAGCCGAATGTCGGAACGTACCAAATTATGCCAAACCGAAGTCCACCATCCTCCTTCATCAAATTGAATGTCTTAACTGTACCTTGCGAGATGAATAAATTGTCACTATTTTTTTTTGCGAAATTGCATAGAAAATCATTTCCGTATTGGCTTCTAAGTTCTAACCCACCCATTCAAGAGGATGGTAGACCCACAGCCTGGGACAATTTGGCACATGAAAGCGGCCATATAAATGGCGTCCGACATCCGGCACCATTTGTTTGGCTCACTGTTCCCCACCCAAAACCATTCCATCCCATCCCGCCCCACCCAGCTGAAAAAAAAAGGAAAAACAAATTTTATTCACTCGCTTCTCAAGACATCCAAGAAAAGCAACAACGACAAAAATGTATTATTTTTTAAAAATTTACTTTAAATTCAATTCAAAATTTAATGAAAGCAAATTTGAATACTGTAATACGAAACTGGGATCATGAATTTTGACGGATCTGCATGACCAGAAGAAGGAACCGTAACAAACCTTGTTCATCCATCATTGCAGGCACAGTGCGGGAATGATGCAACAGCCGGTTTGCGGGATTAGCTCCTACTAATCCGCCAGTTTTGAGCGGGTAAAATGGCCGCTCATTCGAATTGTAGCCGTGGGACGAGTGATGAAACGCTGCTGCTGTGGTTGGGGGATGACTGCGTCTGTTGTTGTTGCTGCTGCCTGCACTCACTGTGGAAGTTGGCGGCATGTGACTGGCGTCCCACAACCGGGGTTTCGTCTGCTTGGCCCGCAGGCCGCAATAATAGGGGTCGTCCTTTTTCTTGTTGCCTGCTGACGTGCCGGGCACCCTACCATTCTGTAAATGTCGAATATGATGTTTAAAATTAATTTCTTGTTCAGGGAAAGAGAGAGAGAGAGAGTATTGCATTTGTACTACTGTACTCGCTGTTGGTTTGTTTATTTCATTTGTACAATTCTGAAGAATTAATCTTTGAAAGGTGAGCATATACTTGCTCATATGATTCCCTTGCATTTGTTGAAATTGAAACATGTATCCTACAACTTATAGTACAAGTTGCTCTTCAAAATAATTTAAAACTATTCTCACAGCTTCTCATTTTCAATTAGTTGAGTGAATCTTGCAGCTACTATTGCTCACTTGAAATTCTACTCAATTGAGTAAGATGAACCATTCAGAAAGGCATTTCACAGTTGACAAAAATGGGTCTTGGACTCAATTGAAAGAATACTGTAAGCTTCAAGATGCCACAAAATCAGATTACTTATACCAACTATGATAAAACTTGCAGCTTTTTCAATTATCCCTCCTGACCAGCTATTGAATTGATTTATACATCTCACAACCCCTCAATTAGTTACACATTATTGCACTTGGTTGGATGATGCTACTGCAAAAAAAGACTCGAAATAAACTTAATAAACCGATGCATAGAAATAAGTTATAATACTGTACCAGGAGATGTAAACTACTGTATTGTAAACTCTACAGAACAAGATGTACTGTACACGTACGTATGATGTATTACCCTTTTTTTTCAAGAGGGAAAATCCGCAACATAATTTTTACAGCACGCAAAAAATACTCTACAGTTCTACACTACGCTATAATACTAAATCAAGTTGAAGCAATCGTTGAAATTCATCGGAAACAACAACAACAACAAAAAAAGTAAATGAATGTTCTTTGTTTTTTCCCCCACCTGATGCCCACGTCGCAGCAGTTGCCGCATCCTCGCATCGGGGTCCTCGTTAAACTCCCTGCTGCTCGTCTTGCCGGCTGCGTTGATGTTGGAGTTGGAGCTGTAGCCCGAGTCCTGACGACTGGTCGTGCTGTTGCCAGCAGTGCCGGTGCGTCGAGATGGCCCGCCGTTGGTGGACGGGCCCGAGAGTGGGATCAGGTCCTTGCCAGAGCTGCTGCTGCCGCCAGAGGTCGCTGAGCCACTGAGGCTGTAGGGATCCTCCTCCGAAGATCCCCCGCCGTGGTGAATGGCCGGCGTGTTCTTGTTGAGGGCCGCCGACGACGACAGCGACCTCTTGTTCACTGTTTGTTTGTTTGAATAAAAAAAGCAAGAAAGATTGCAGTTCAGTACTTGAGTACAGTACTTTATAAAGATTATACAGTACATCATAACTATGGAATGGACTCAAGAGCAGCAGAGTTCAACCTGTGCGTGTGTGAAGGCCAGCACAGAGCTCAAGAAGAAAAATGCTGAACGGAACTCAAATTATTTCTTGACTCTTGGTTATCAACGTTGGGTGTGACAAGTCATTTGAAAAAATCTCCACCTTGTGAATTGCTTGCCTAGAAAACTTTCAGGTTAAATATTTCGAGGGGTGCTCAACATATGGCTAAAAGTTTCAGTCTTTCTAAAACAATTTGTCAGCATTGCGTCGAAAGAATAAATACTGTATACAGCATAGTGAAAATGATTTATACACGGAGACTCTCTCTACAGCAATTTTTTCTGTACAGGAAGATCTTGTTACAACAAACTTGTGGGGACTTTAGAAAAACTTTGCTAATTATAATGAATAATTTGCTGTAATAAGATTTTTAAAATTCTTGACAGGGAATGTTGCCCCAAATTAAACCTGCATATATTCATATGTCAGAAACAAACATTTACTTTGAATAACCGGTAAACACTAACACTCTTGGCAGACAGCAAGTTTTTGAAGAAATTATTGCACAGATTTGATAAGTAGGATGTTCAAAAAAAGCTCTTGTTGCTGAGGATCAAGCATCCAAAAAAAAAGCCCTTTCAACATGAGTTTTGATGGGCTCATTCATTTTAAACAACCCCCTCCCCCACATTAACTAAAAGTTATTTATGCCAAAAACAGTATTGTAATGATATTTGTTTTCATGATACTTCACTGTAAAACAACTTTATTTTTTCCAATCATAGGGTTATTACCCATCATATAGAGATTCTCCACCACTTTTTTTTTCTGGTACAGCACTCTGAATTTTGATGCAGAAAGAGTCCAACTGTAATCTTGACTTGAGTATTGCATTCATACCTTTTTCTTGGTTGAAAAACACATTTTGAGAAAACAGCTTCAATCTATCCACCTCAGAATGTATGATTCAGGTATGATTCCATTTGTCATTAATATGTCTCATAAACAAGAATTGTAACTAATCAATGATGCTACATTTGATTTACTATAGGTACCTCTTTCAAATCCTTCTTTTTAAAAAATTGATGTAGTGTACTGTACTTGGAACTTGAAAATTTCAAACTTATAAGACTGGGAATTCAAAATGGCAATAAGGGAAGCCTAATATCTCACACATGTACAGTACAGTATATATGTGCCAGTATAACTCACTCATGGGTGGCAGTTTTGCCTTGAGCATGTCCATGGCAACCATGTTGATGAGAAGAACCCACACAGGGCAAGCCAACAAGTTCCCTGCTGCACCATGCACAAAACTGATGGCAGACACACACTGGTTCTCCAACTTCCTTCTGTCTGGATATGCCCTCTTCAACTCACGCTCCACATTCTGTCGACAACGTCAACAATGTAAATACAGTATATAATTATTGAACAAACCAGGGTGAACATACCTGACGAAATTTGCGGACATCAAAGAGCGTTTCTGGCTTGTCAAAGGGAAGGGCACCCCTGGCCAGTTTCATGATTTCTGATGAGGCTGCAGTTTCATCAAGAGCAGCATTCATGACCAGGACTGGACTGCGAGACACTCTCTTCACCAAGATGTTCCCAGAGGCATCCATCTTGAACTTGACTCCATGGCCAACCAGCCTCCTGATTTCTTCTGCCTCCTGGTCCCTCAAGCCTGAATCAAAGCCTCTGAGACCAATCCTGAAACAAAAGTGGACAAATTTACAGGTCTTGTCTGTTGGGTTCACTGGATGGCCAATATGTGCATATAGATGTCACTTCAACAACCATTATATGCTCAAGTTTCAATTTTGGACATTGATTTGTATTTAAGCAACCTATGGTCTGTCCAGAAAAGTTTTTTTGACAGCCCACAGGAAATTTTCAGCATAATACATTTACCAGAAATAACAATGAAGTCTGTTCTCTTCACCTAAAATTTTGGAAGGACAATGGCAGTTGAATTACACTATCTGATAAAAATACAAAGTTGGCTTTTTTCCTAAAACTTCATACAAATTTGCACCTACTGAAATAGATTACTTTAAATTTTTATTCTGAAAAACTTTTCTCCAAGCCAACCTTTCTCATAGTTTGAAGACATTCTTAACTGGATTTCTCTTGTAAATACCTGCCTAGTAGCATTCAAGCAAAACTTCGTGAATCTGAAAAAATCTTACGAAGCATTACAGGTCTGCAGAAAATTTTTTTTTGGGATTTGCTGGTTCAAAATGTTTCTCTCTTAAATTTGCCAGTCCGTGGATCCAAAAAGGTTGGGGAACACTGAGGCAGAGTATGCGTGTATTTCTGGGTTTATATAAACAAATCCTGTCACAACAACCTTGCAGGGACTTCCCCAAAAAATTATTTCCACAGTAGAATTCTTGTCATAACAAATTTCTAAATTTATAACACGTTTCTGCTTTCAAACAATGTGATTCATCTTTCAGGTCCCCATCCAATATACCCACAGATTTACTCCAACTGTATTTAATCAAATACAGTACCACATTCAACTTTTTGAAATGAATAAGGAAATAGTGTGTCAATTATAGATGGTTACAACATTTTTAAATCTTGGGTGAGCATCATACTTGATTCCAACAGGGAATTCCCAAAAAATAAAACAATCAAAAATTAATTTGAGTACAATTCATGTCAAAATTCTGATGTACTGTCCACTATTTTCAAAATACAGTATTGCAATTTCCAGTCCAAAAAATAAGGTGTGTGTTTTACTTGCGGATATTTTTTAAAATCCAAAATTCAGGCTGAGAAATCCAGGTGCACATCTTAATCAAGGGCATGTTGTACCTGAATAAATACAGTATTTATAGGAAAAAGTAGAAATAACAAGGTTCATCTCCTTTTCCCCATTGCTTTGTTACAAGATTCCACTGATACAATCATCTGTAAATATTTCAACATGCCTTGTCTTATACCTCAAATCCTCCCATTAATTGTACTAAGTTTTGGTGAGTTGTAATAAATTTTTTTGACTTGCTAAAAAAATGTTGGACAGGTACACCAAAAATGAAGCTCACAACAAAATTTCAAACAAATTATGATTGTCAGAACATATTTACTGAGGATGGCAAAGAAAAAAAAAGAGAAAGATTGTCACCAACCTGTAGCCATCAAAGCCATCATCAGATCCATTGACTGTCAACACAGGTGCTCTGGCATAAGCCTTGGCCACCCTCTTGTTCCTTTCCATCACAATCACCTTTGCCCAGATCTCATCATCAATGTGCTCCCACTTGTTCAGCACCTCCTGGATGTGGTCCTGCAAATAGTAAAAAAAAAAAAAACAACATTCAATTCCAAATAAAATTGCAGTATTTCATCCAATACATGAGAAACTTTTATAATCATCCTTCAGCAACATGCGTGGACATAGATGTCACTAACAGTTCAGCATGGATGTGCACCTGATGAAGTCATTCAAGGAATGTGCTTCTTCTGGGTATTCAAAAGGTTCCTATACTCACAGAACACAGTGACACCTTCTAGTACAAACACCTCACACTAAAAATGTCCCGTAAAACAAACATTTGTGATGGACTTTTTCTCACCATTGAACCACAAACAAAATTAGTTCTTTATACAAAATGAGAAAATTCCTTCTTTACTTGAACATGATTTATATTAAGAAGGAATTTGCTTGACAAAAAAAGAGCTTGAACAATTCATGTCTGTTGAACAAGGCACCTTTACATTTTTTTTTTAAATTGCAATGCATTAAAGTTTCTAAGAAATGTAATTACTGTAGTACAAATGCTTAGAAAAATCATTAGTGACTGTGTCTGTGATCTAAGAAAACCCTGGTTTCCAATTTTTGAAGGTATGCATTTTGTTTTCTTTAAATTTGGACACAACTTCAATATTTAAATTTGTTATTTAAAAGTAACATGCATTTTTTTTTATAAATTTTCATCCACATTTGGTGGTTCTGGGTCAGAATTTTCAAACATCACATGGAAAAGGATGTTTTCCAAAAATAAGATAAATTATGAACACACTGTAAAGTGCTGTATTTAGTTACAAAAGTACTGTATTTACTCAAGTACCACAAGCCCTTAAATAAAAGACAAATCTTAATTTTTGAGCCTAATTTACATGAAAAATGTATCCTCCAAGGAAAATAAATTCACACTCCACTTTCAAGTTGTATGTCACCCTGTAGTCTTGACCGTGTAAAATTTTTACACTACAATATACAGTCTGCAACACAGCTGCAAATACTGTACTACCACCTACACTACAACCTATGCACCAATTTCAAGCCAGTTTCCCGATTTAATAACCAGATGTCACGTCAATCCTGTCCTGAATCCTGAACCATCCATCCATCAGACAAGGGAAATTCCACAACACACAAATTACATATAATAGGCAGCAGAGAAATAACTACAGAGACCCCCCCAACAAACAAATTAACAAGCTGGCCATGAAATGTGTATTTTTCGGGAACACGAAATTGATGTTGTTTCTTATTTAGCCCACATGTGTGTGTGTGTATATATACAGTATATATAACATCATGCAGTAAATTCCTCGTGGTTTGCCCTCAGGGGGGGTTGATGAAAAAAATATATCCCGAGCCGGACATCCGCATGCCAAACAAGACAACAATAAGAGAAGCGATCTGTAACATCACATGTATACAAGAGAGTATAACAAGCAAAAGAAACGTTTCTAAAGGGCGTGTCTCAGGCCCTGGAGCAATCCAGAACCCACAAGGTCGAACCCACCCTAAAATCAAGCTTCCTCAAACGTTTCTGCGTGTCAATGACCAATTCTTGTGCCCCCCCCCCGGGATAAGGTTTCCAAAACTAAAAAACTAAAAAAAAAAATATAAAAAAAATACCGTATTTTTACTTGAGTTTACAAAAAATAGTGACATTATTTTTATTTCCAAAATCCAGAGAAAAAAAAAGTAAGCGTGGAGCGAAATTTATCAAACACTTGAGAACATTTTTTACGAGCGAGCCACTTATGGGGGTGATATTTTTAATCTTTATTTTCAAAAAAATCATAAAAACTGGTGAAATATGACATGAAAATATGAATATTAAGGAATTGAACAAGCCATTAAATTCAGGCTCAATTCAAGAAGTTATTTTTCCTCGCAATATCACAGAATTTACATGGACTTGAAAGTGGAGTGTGTATTTCACTTTGAGATGCATTTTTAACAAAACTGTAGCTCAAAAATCAGTGTAAAAGTATTACAATATTTGTGGGCTTGTGGTACTTGAGTAAATACATTACAGTACTTGTAAATTCAGCAATACAATGTGGTCATAATTTATTTTATTTTTGGAAAAAAAATACCTTCTCATGGGATGCTTGAAAATTCTAACCCAGAACCACTAAATGGAGTGAATAAAGAAAACTAATAAAAATAAATTCTACTCATTTTGCATAATGAATTTAAAAATTTAAGTTGAGTCCACAATTAGGAAAAAAAATGTATATTTTCAAAAATTGGAAAATATACAGGTTTCATGGATCAGAAACAGTCACTTACTCAAGATTTTCCAAGCATTTGAAATACTGTACTTGTATATTTTTGAAACTTCAACACATTGAAATTTTATTAAAAAAAATAAATTTGAGGTATTGTAGATAAAACTTTTCCACTCATACATTAATTCACTCAAACTATGAAAGGGAAAAGTAGAAGTTTTAATTGAGAAATGATCAATGAAAACTGTTGAAAATGTGCGTTAATTCAAGTACAGGATGCCTTCACCAGTAATTTTAAAAAAAAAGTCAGTGTTTTTGGATGAAAGAATGAATATTTTCAAAAATATTCCTGTAAACTTGAACCAACTGAAATCCTCCCCAATTCCCAAACTCAAACCGACAAAGAACAAATCGTTACAAATATTCATTTAAAAAAATCATACCACACTAAACTCTTGTTTCAAAAGTGTCGAAGCCATGAATAACAAATACAAGCATGTATGCATATACAAACATCAGAATAAGCACCTTGTTTCAAGTTCAATCCCCTTCATTTATTTATATTTATTTCTTTCTTTCTTTTCCCCAGCAGCATCCCTCATTATTCATGATATTGGAATCCACATGAGAGAGAGAAAAAACTACCTCAATTGCGCAGCATCTGCCCAATCAACCAGGACCCCCCAGGGATAAAAATCTTTTGCATGAAATTGCCCTCGACACAAGAGTTTAAGGTGCGTTTTCCAGGTATTCCATCAAAGTTGCCCCCACCCCAAAGTGTCAGGCGGCAAAAAGGCGGCCATTGACATCAAGGGGATCCCTGTTTGCTGGGAAACAGAACATGATTCAAGTCCAAGCACAAAAAGGTACAGGAAAGACGAGAGACAACGACCCCTCGAAACAGGATCCGAAAGAAGAAAAAAAAAAGGTTATAAGGTGTTGATTCATATAATTTTGTGTTCCCAGAAAAAGAAGAGGCAATTTACATTATTCATTTCTCCAATGCTGAGTGGTATATAATTACCTCTAAATCAATCCCATCTCAGTAGGAAACCTCCTTTTTTATTTCTACCTTCCACCTTCCACATGAATAATTAATGAAATTCCAGGAATTTACACTTCGATAAAATGCGAAGAAAAACCACCGTCATTTGATTCGAGACAACAAAAATACCCATCCAATTATTTAGCAAAAATACATTTTCCGTTCAATATAAAAAAATGAATTATATGCATATAAATATATTTAATAAAAAAAAAGACAGGTGAGGTAATCCGTCAGCACGAGAGACGAGAGACAGCCAGCGGCAAGGAAATTCAGTCACGCACTTCCAAGTCTCTGGAAGGTCATGATCGAGCGCATTTCAAACGACCCTCGGATTCCTCAGGTTTTCCAACAGAAAAAAACTAATAATATTGAAGAATTCAAACAGATCTTTTTTTATTCAAATGTATGTAATGAAAAAAAAAATGTGCGAACTGAAACAGTGTAAATAGAATTAATCGAAATACCTCCCGAAAAAAAAATATCCCAGCTTTTTCTTTCTTATTCAGTTGGGGAATTTAACATCGCATTTGAAACGTAATCAAAGTGATGTGAAAAATACGATGAAACATTCAAAAATTGAAGAAATTGGCAAGATTGTGATCACATCATCCTTATTATCATTCTACACGAACCAATTACGTTACTCACAGAACAATTATTTCTCGATGAGGCAATAATTTTTGCAAATATTGAAGCTCGGTTCCAAAAAATATTCCTTTGAGAGAACAGGGAATTCCTGGCAATCCATACACATAAAAAGAAATTGCAAAAGCTCCTTTAAATTTTTTTCTTCTTGTCCGTTAAATTATTACTCATCTGACCAAATTTCCAATTTCAAAATGTATCCTTGAATTTAAAGAGAGAGAGAAAAACATGCAGTCTAAATGTCAATCCATTGCAACTTTTCAACAAAAAGAAAAAAAACAATTATCTAGAATTTTGCGGTGCTATTAATTTAGGTGCGTACCTGGATTTTTAATTCAAAGGTTGAGGAACCTTACTTCCTGTTCTTCCGCCACCGGTTCTAATAAAAAAGTTTTCTTCTTGTTCTTCGTATTGGTTTTTTACGTTATAACGTAAAAAAAAAAATAATAGAAAAGAAAATTTATATCTCCTAGTGTGCGTGACTGGATCTCTCGACCGCCGCCACGACGACGACATCGACATCGACGACGGCATTCCATCACACATAACCACGCGGAAGGGGGAAGGAATAAAATGAGCCAAATATATATGTATATATATATATATACACAAGAAATAAAAAAAAAACATTTTCTCATCATTTATACTCTTCTTCTCCTTCCCACCATTCTTCCTTCTACAAAGAACACGAGGAATTTCACCGTACTGCACCAAAGCTGTTTCACTGTAAAGTACATTACTACACAAGGGACCACGCCCCTGTTTGACAAAGGGCACCCATACCGACAAAAGGACACATTGATACAATTCATATCGTGATTCGGGGTCCTTCCAGGAACTGCGACAGCCCATTTCTTACCCATCATGATGATGATGATGATGATGATGATATTAATAATTAATATGGCAATTAGAATTCACAAGAATACGTTTGAACAAAGGTCGTCAACTAAAATAACGCTACCATTTGTTTTTTTTTTAATCCTTTTGAACTTATTAGTACAAAAATGCAAAGATTTGGTTCAGTACTAGCGGTTTTCTGTTTTTGCGTAGTGTTAATTACAAAAGACAGAAAATTTAAATCGGGAAAAGAAATCATGTAAGACAAAAAGTAAGAAACTCTTCCATATTCAATCGCTTGAGAATATATGAAAAGAAAGCCAAATATCTGCACATTATTCCTTTTCTTTCCCTCTCTGTACTCCGCAAAAAAATTCAGGCAATCGGCAACATTTTCATCAGGGAAATTACTGATAAAATGAACCCCGATGCAAGAGAGCAGGTGATAAATACTTCAAGTATTTCCAAATGCAAAACTCAAGATGTCGCTCCCAACTAAATACCATATCCACTGTAAACAGGATGTTGCAGTTGGTTTTTTTTCAATTTGGACAAAAGCACATCAGCCAGAGTTGATTTAATGCTTTTGAATCTCATGATGTAAGACAGATGTCACCCCACTTCAAAAAGAAAATAACCAACTTTCACTTGAACGCAAGGAAAATTCAACCCCACTGGGGCGACATCTAAGAACATGGCGATGAAAATCACGAATTTTGAGACGTCGGGACTCGTGAGCTTAGAATAGCGGAACAAAAACAAAAATTCCATCGCATATTTGATTAGATATTCAAGTACATTATATGCAATAGAATTACATTTTGTGCATAAATTAGGAAAAACCCATCAATCGAAAATTCATAAACCAAAAATATTGATCGACTTCCACTTGTCTTTGGCAAAATGTTGCAAAAAATGTATCGCCATTTGCAGTAATATTCATTTCCTCTTCAATACCTATAACCATCAAATTTTAAACATTATAAAAAGTGTCCACAAAAATCACAAATTTCGACTGGATATATAGCTTCAAAAAACCATATTCACAGCCGTGACTATCAAAGTGATACCCATAATCAATCCCATAACAAATCTCTGCTTTCAAAAAATAAATCAAAACTAAAAGGCATCTCAAGAAAAACCGAGTCAACCCTATCACATGTACAATATTTTTCTTTTCATGCAACAACGTCTTGGAAAAAATTCCTCAAAAAGTGACTGTAGGAAAAACAAATTGAAATAAAAGGAGAAAAGAGAAGAGAGAGAGATAAAAAGTGAAAATAGTTGACTCACCCGGTACAACTTGTCCTTGGAGTGCCAGACGTCTTCTTCGTCGGCAGGTGGCGCTGGTCTCCCGCCGCCGCCGCTGCTGCCGCCTCTCGAAGCCGCCACGACAGAGGCGCCAGTGGACGCCAACGTCGACGGGCCATCTTCGTCATGCTCGTCCATCAAGTCCAAATCGTCATATGACCTGCTCAGGATCTTCCTCCTGCTCACCATATCTGCGTTGAAAAAAAATTCAAAACAAAATTGAAATCAAAATCATTTATTGACCATGACCATGTCTGTCAATCAATCAATCATGAAAACTATAATTTCATGTCAATAAATCTTTCAAACGATTCCTTTTCGAAGTAGCAACAGAAATTCTCCACAAGGTAAAAGTATTCTTGCAGAAAAATAGTTTGCAATCAAAAACTTGGGTTTCGCGATACTTCTTACTTTTCTTGGAGAATTTGGAAAAAAAAAAGTTGCCAAATATTTCTAAAAAATAAATTATTGTCCTTCCATGTGACTGCCTCAAAACAAAAAAGCTCAACAAATAACGACTGCTAAATTTCAGTTTTTTCAAGAATTAACTTTTCTCCCACTAATTTCCAAACTACAGTAAACAGGTTGATTGAAAAATAATTGACTTCACGGCACTCATTTGCCTTATTCACACTTCAACGCTTCCGGGAATATCAAAATATAAATTCGCTATTTTTTCCTCATGATATATTTTGAAAAACCAGCTATGGCAATAATACTGTCAAGGAATGCCAAAATACAATACTGTATCTGCAATTCCTAAAAACTGAATTCATATGCCTTTGTTTGTCTGAAAAGAAAAAGAGTTTCAAAATTAATATTTCAAAATTTCCAGCATTTAGAGAATTAAAATCATCTGTATACTTTTCTCATTTTTTAAAATGACAATAAAGTTAGTCTTTTAAAAAATGAGGATTTTCCTACGTGACTCACACGATTTCAAAATGTAACTTGTTTTAAAAATCATGCTTTTAAGGAAGGTTCTCTGAATATCATTTACAGGTGGACACTCTCTCTCTCTCTCTCTCTCTCTCTCTACAACGATTTTCTCTGTACAACGAATTCTTCTTGGCCGCATACGATTCTTGAGCATTGTTTTAGGCGTTCTCTAAAGCGAAATTCTCTCTCCAACGAATTTTTCAGGGTCCCAATAAATTTGCTCAAGAGAGAGAGAGAGAGAGAGAGAGTCCACCAGTAGATATATTCTTTTTAAACCTAGCAATATTGCAAACAACAAAAAGTCGGCAATTCGACAAATCAAAATGTATCAGATTCCAGTCTGTCATAAAAAAATTGAAAATAACATTTCTCAAATATCCATTCATTTCAAGAATTAAAAGCATCTTCATATATTTTTCTCTCGTTTTCAAAATCAGACAAAGTCAGCTTAAAATGTATGAAATTCGTGTCACTCTTACAACGTCATCAACGCGATTGTAAAATGTCAACTGGTTCTTTCTGCATATAATGAAAGTTCTCTAAATAATACAGTATGGAGAGAACGAAATATGCATTCTTTTTCATTCGAGTTTTTTTCAACCGTGGATTCGCAGTAGTGCCAAATAAGTCGGCAATTTCTCAAAATTCAAAATGTACCCGCCCCTGTCCGTCATAAGAAAAAAGAAGATTAAAAACAAAAATTTCTCAAACTTCAGTCATTTCAAGAAACAACATCATCTTTATATGTGTTTCTCCTTTTCGGAAAAACGATGAAGTTCGCACAAAAAGTATGATCTTCACGGCGCTTTTTGAACACGCGACGTGCAAAAAGCAAAAGTCCTTCTTTCTTTCTTTCTTTCTTTCTACGTAAGGAACGTTATTTAAATATCGAAAGAAAACCAAATATTCATTTTTTTTTTCAAACCCTGGATTCGCAATAGTGCAAAAACAACACACACAAAAAAACTCCGCAATTCCCCCACGCAAAATGCCTGTCTTTCTATCCGTCTGAATTCGCTGCTGCTGCTGCTGCTGTTGATGGAACCTCGATATTGAGAGGCACTCGTGTGCGGAAGGCCTTGGGAAAAATCCTGTTCTTTCCCTCACTCACTCACTCTCTCTTTCTTACTGGTCCAGAATATTCCCCCCCCCCCCCCCCCTTTCTTATTTAAAAAAAAAAAACACAAAACGAAACAGAGGCAAAACCGGAGCAGCAGCAGCAGCAGCAGCAGGGATCGAACCAAGTTTGTTGTACGCGGCATTTCACAACACCGAGACTCAAGAAAAAAATAAAAAATACATAAAGAAATGAATAAAGAGAGGTTTTGAGGACTCGGACCACGCCCTTTGTCCGGCAGCCAAACTTGCCTGCCGACTGCCTCCTCGACTCGACGACTGACCAACTCACTGACTGACTGACTGACTGACTGACTGATTGGCTGACACACGCACCAAAAAATAAAAAATAAATAAATAAAAAATAAAAACAAAACCCTCTCAGGGCTAATTGGGTCACGCGACGTCTTTTTTTTTTCTTTCTCTTCTACTGCTGGCATGTGTTCATGAAATGCGCTCTTGTTTCTTCCCCTTATATATTTTTTTTGCTTCAGTCATTGATTAATCAATCAAACAACACTTGATCGGTACCCACTTCGCCAATGTTTTTTTCGTATTATTATTTTCTTTCAGGAATTGAAGAGGATTCGCGTTCATCAACTGAGGTAAAATACAATATTCTAGACATATATCCTGTCGTAAACCAAAATTTGGCCAATTCACCAGCACGAAAGACTCATTTTATTGCGAGCCTTGCTGAAATCGACGAAATTGGCAAAACGTATCACGTTCACTTTCAAGGCTGTCGACTTCCTCAATTTTAATGAGCCAATTGTGAACCTTGGCGGAAAATCACCTGAATTATCCCTAATCCACAGGAATATTTTCCTATAAACACAACGCATTCATCCTTGAGAAGAAAAGCGGAAAAGTGAACAAGCAAAAAAAAAACATAAAAGTTTAAACAACCTTCAAAATTGGCTCAACTGAACTGGAATCTTATAAAAAAAACTAGCCAGATAATTTCACCAGCAAACAGTAAAATGGCAAATCACAGCAGTGAAAAGGACATTTTTCTGGTCTATCAAGAGTGAAGTTCTTCAACATGTGCAAATTTAAACATCAACATTCTCAACTTTTTTATGTAAAGCCAATAATGTATATAAAAAAACAGACTTTGCTCTATGTACAGTACATCACATTTCTTGACATGTCATACAAATTTCACAGATATACATTGAATGTTGTTGATTTCATGTTTTGCATGCAGTATGAGAAATTGAACTGGTGAAGTCAAGATCCTTGAGGGTTCCACAGTGGGAAAGGTTATTCTTTTTGGGTGGTCACACTGGCCAGCAGACATTTCCCAAAATAAGTTTTATTCATTCCTGTTGTGGGTTTTCAAAGTCAAAGACACTTACAAAACCCACAGACACACTCTGCAAATAGAGATGAGTGAAAATCGCATGGATTTCAGGAAATAAATAAAAAATTGTGGGAGTATTTCCAATCTTTTTCAAGGGAGTAGTGAGGAAAAAAGTACAACAAGTTTCCAAATAAATGCTTTTCCAAAGATGGAATAAATTCCAAGAATTCATATTCAACGATTTTTCACACTTGTCCCCAATAAATATGCATTTAGGAATTTTTGGGGGGGAAAATTTGCAAAGCATTTATACTGCCTCCACAAATGCATTTGGTGAAGGTTTATCAACAGGGCAAAATCAAGGAGATTGAAAGCACACATGCACAATTTATTAGTTTGCACTTCAGACTCTTTGAATTCTTC